TGCCGCCGGGAGTGGGGCAGCGCCCGGGGCCCCCCGTGCCGTGCCCGGTGCCTCCTGCCACCCGCGGGGCCCGGCTCCACGCCGCCACCGTCGCCCTGGCCGAGCTGGCCGAGCACCCGGCGCTGGGTGGCCCGCTCCTCGCCCGCCACCTCGGCCTCCTCCTCGCCGGCCTCTGCCTGCTGGGCCACGGCCCCGCCGCCCACAGCCAGGTCCGTGGGTCCCTTCTTCTCCCACTCCCCTGTGCCAGCGTGGGTACCCAGCCTGGCCAAAAACACCTCAGGGCCAGCAGCCCGCTCTCTGTGCTCCATGGCCGAGCCCCCAGTTGTGCTGGGCTCTGGCTTGCGCAGCCCCATGGCAGCTCCTGTGGTGTGTACATTAATCTCCGTGCCAGAGATGGGATGGGGAGCCTGGCGAGGGTCTGGAGGGGCACCGGTGGGCTTAGCGTCGGAGCTGTCCTCGACACCCTGGGATTTGTTTTTATTTTCCAGGGTGTTTCGGAAGCGGAGCGAACGCGGTGCCGGGAGACCCTGCGGCAAGTCCTGGACCGTGTCTACCAGCCGCTGGCGGTGCGGGAGCTGCTCGTCCTGCAGGGCCGGCCCAAGCAGGTACCCATGGGCAGCGAGGCCAGCCCCCGCGGGGCACTGTGAGCGTCTTTATCGCCCGCCATGCTGGGACTGTGTATGCCAGCGCACTGAGGGTGCCTTTGCTGCTCTCCTGGAAATGTTCTTACACCTTTAAAAACCAGTTTGGTGCAGCAACCCTGTCCTTGAGTCATGTACGAACACATGGGTGAAGTTTCTGGGTGTGTGTTGCTTGGGCAGCAGCAGCTCAGGCCCTGCTGTGTGTGGGTGTGTGCCCACGAGCGTGGGTGAACTTGAGGACTCTCCTTGCAGCACATGGCGCCTGGGCTTGGCCCTTCCATCCACTGTGCCTGGCCAAGCAAATTGCCTTGTCCTCCAGAACCTGCCTCTTCCCACCCGAGGGGACAAAGCGGTGCTGCCTCGGCACCAGCTGCTGTGCGTGGCCGTGTCAATGGCTGCCTGGTGGCAGTGGGGAAGGGGAGATGAGTGTCCGAGCAAGCACTTCCATTTGAACTGCTTGCTCTGCTGGTTCACGGCCTGTGGGCAGCTCTGCTCTTTGTTTGTACTCAAACAAATTGCTTTGTTTGACCAAGGAGCCTGCGGGCTCGCTGTGTCACCTGCGCAGCCCAGTGCTCTGTGCAGGGTCCTGGCAGGGGTCACCGCTGAGAACCCCCTACCTGCATTGAAACCCACTTGTCCCCTGAGTCCCCTGTGTACTGCTTTGGTAATGAGGCAGTCGGAGCTGTTGCCTGACCCTGAGAGGCTTTAATTAAAGGAGGGAAGCTCTGCATGAGGGGATGCTCCTGGGAAGGTTGGCCTCTCTCATTAAGCCCTAATTCTCTTTGTGCCGCTGAATGAAGAAGTGATTTATTTAAAAAGGTTTCCCTGTCCTGTGCTCCTGTCTCAAGTCGGGATGCAGGCTGCTTCCCTGTTAGTGAGGGTTTGCACAGGAGTGTGCAAATACGCTCCTTAGTCGGCTCCTTTGTTTCCTTTCAGAATTCTCCCTCTCCTGGGGAAGAAACAAAGCCGTCCCTTGTGCGGGCTCCGGCGTGGCTGCGGCGCCTTTGTGGTCAGCTGCTCTCCGAGAGGCTAATGAGACCCAACGGGGTTCAGGCTGTGGTTCGGGGCATCATGGAGGGAACAGGCGGTGAGTAGGGTGCTCTGACGCTGCTCTTGGCTTCCAGCATCGCAGATTAAAAGAGGCTGTGATGATGTGTCTGAGACATTTCATCCCATGAGAGGCCATCAGAGCACTGAAATGGGAAACAGCTTTTGTCAGACCAAGCTGATTCTGTAACACTCGTGCAGATTGTGCCTCTGACTGTGTGGAACTCCCAAACAGTGAATGCCTTCCAACTGCAATGCCTTTAGTTTGGGGTACACTGTCATGTTTGAGGTCCAGACTGAAAGCCTCCAAGTTAATTTGGTCTGGCTCTGCCTCCATGGGGTTGCACCTCATGTGTGTACGGAGGATGGTTTGTTCCGAGGAGCTGTGCTGATCCAGTGGGAGTTGTGCTCAGTGCTGGGCTGTGAGCAGCTGCAGATGGAGTGAGATCTGTCCTGCTCCAGGGCTCAGCAGCCTTGCTCCCCTGCTCTCTGTTTCCTGCCAGGGAGGGAAACTGTTGCTCTCTAAAAGATCGATCCCACAGTCTTTAGTGCCAAAGCCTCCTCCAGCCAATACTAACCTGATGACACCCTCCAAGCATGGCCACCCTCCACCTTTTGGCTCATACAGCTACTTGTAGCAGTCATTTTCCAGTATCAAAAGTCTTGGACAGTGATTTTCCCCCTTCTGTCATTAAATTCAGGTGTCACCTGAAAGGTGCTTGGTTTGAAGCGAGTAATAAGAGCTAGAAATCCAGTTTTGGGCCAGAAACATCTGGCTTCAGCTAGAAATGGGGCTGCAGTTTGCTGTCAATCTGAGCTGATCTTGGCTTTCTGCTGGTGGAGCAGGTGGTGCTGGTGCTGAAGCAGCAGCTGTGGACTGGAGAAAATGCGACACGGTTGCAAAGATCCTGGCTTCCTGCCCACAGCAGTGCCTTTCTGTCGAGGACTACTACCAACTGGTGTGCCCCCAGGTAGGTCCCTCTCTTCCTGCCACACGCCAGCTCTGGCTGGGCATTTGGAGCTGGCTCCTGGCTTGGAGCATGTCAGTACTGTCACTTCTGCTTGAGCTTGGCCCTGCTGGAGCCAGGACAACGTAGAGTCGTTTTTCTGCTGCTCTGGCAGTGGGACGTGTTTCCATCCTCCTCTTGAATTTTCCATATTTGATTGAAATGCTGGATGATGTTGCCTGATCACACGAGCTGTTCAGTGGTGCGCTGTGAGCTCTCTGCTGAGGAACTCTTGCTTCCAGCCTTTGGCTCTGGGAGCAGTGCAGACTCTTGGTTTGAGCCCAGAAATGCATCCCGTGTTAACGTGTGCATGGGAAGGAGATGGGCTCTTCCATATGCGGGATGTTGTGCCAAATGTCCAGCAAAACAGCTTACAGGAGGCTCCTCAATCTCTGCCGTTGGCTGCAAGGAGTCGGCCTGCCCCTCCCTTCTAAGGGGCTGCTGATCTTCTTTTTTCTTTTTTCCTTTATCGTGGGCTTTCCTTCCAGGTTCTGGACTTGCTGCACATCCAGGACAAACTGACAGCGCGGCAGTTCCAGCGAGTGGCCACCACCACGCTGCTCACCATGGCGAAAGAGCACCCTCAGCTGGCAGAGAAGCACCTGCTCCAGCCCCTGTTGGCACCGCTCCTGCGGTGCTCGGAGACAGCAGGTAGTGGCTCGTCTCTGCCAAGCCCCGTATCGGAGAAGGGTCTGGGTTCTCGCTGATCTTTGTCTTTCCATCAGGATTTTCCCAGGTGCTGGCAGCTGGGCTGCTGAGCGTGCTCTGTCAGTTGGGAGCGTGTCTGGGTGGCTGCGTGCACCATGTTTACTAGCACTTGAGTCAAATTACTACAGCGTTAAGAGCCAAGTAGTGGGGCTTCTGCCACTTACTCTTTGGGAATCCCTCCAGCCTGACAGTCTTGTTTTGGGTTTCCGGAGGGAAGCCATCGGTTCCCCACACTGACTGGGCTGCTCCCTGGGGAATAATCCATCGAGAAGTTGTGGTCTGCTTTGATTTGCTTGTAACCTTGCGGAGTTTACAACACTGCAGTGATATTTAGCGCAACTAACGAGGGCTCACTGGTTCCCATGCTGCCTTGATGGAGGAGAGGGAAGGCAAGAGAACTATCAAAGTGCTTTCTGGTGCTGGGCATGGTGGGATTGCTCTTCTGCTGGAGACTCCTCAGCATGTGTGGGTGCTGATATTTCTGCCCTTTGGTTTCAGAGCTAGCGGTGGAAGATTTATCAGCAGGGACCGTGCTGGTGACAGAGGCAGAGCTCGGCAGCTGTGTGGAAGATGTGCTCAAGGTATTGTGTCTGATTTGGGCCTGAGGGTAGGCGAGAAAACTCCTCTAAGTGAGAATTGGTTTGAGACTTTCTGAGCAGTTCTGTGTGTGTCTTAGACCGTGTCAAAAACCGGCCTCTCCTGCAGTCATGATGCTGAGGTGAGGCCAAGAGCTGCACAGAATAACCTTGTATGCAGCACTGCGCTGGTGGGACTGCAGCTTTATGCCAGATATCAGAGGCACTGCCTCCATCCTTTCAAGCGTTCTCACCCCAAAACATGCTGCGAGATGGCAGTGAACTCTTACTGGTTGTTTTTTCCCAGAGTCTTTCTGGTGTCTGAGCAGTGGGCTGGTAGCCAAGAGTCTCCATGGGGCTTTCATATCCTCTTTCTCCATGAGATGCAGCAAGGCTTTGAGCGTTGCTAAACTGTGCAGCTTCTACAGCACTGTTGGGTCTGGGTGTACTGTCAGAGCAGCTTCAGGACTTGGGTTGTGATAGTGGAGCAGGTAATAGTAGAGCAGGCAGCGTGGTGGGCAGGAGGTCCTAGTCAGGAGTACCGCTGGCCTGGTAGCATGTGTGGCCTTGGGCTGTCAATCCCAGTCTGAGGTGATGCCGCTCACCTTCCAACATCAGAGTTGTGCAGCAGATCAGAGGGAAGGAAGGATCACAGGGAATCCTGCACGTGCTGAATCTTCAGAGATTGCCTGAGCTCTCCTGTCAGGTTGTCTCTGGCCCACCCTGCTCTTAGTGCCTCTGTGCCTCAGTTTCTTCCATGTAGAGCATGGATAATGTGGCTCACACTGAGCCCAGTGCTACCTGTGTGGGAGGCAGAACCTGCTGGGAGCTGCTCTCCCTGCCTCTGAGGTCTGCAGAGGGCAGCCTGAGCCAGAGTGCTGGAGCTGGAAGCCTTTCTACAGCTTCTGCAGCATTTATCCCTGGTGGAGGGATGGATGGGCGGCAGCCAGCTCTTGCGTTGGGCCAAAATGCTTCCGAATGAGTGACCTGGAAAAAAGGGCATTCGAGGTATCGGCAAGCGGCTGGCAGTGCTGGACTGCTCAGCCCTGCAGTCAGGGCAGCTTGGCAGGGCCCCCAGCACGTCGGTGGGTGGTTGTGCAGCCGGTTGGCAGTGAGGCTGAGGCAGCAGGCACTGTGAAGTGAGCAGATTCAGTGTGGCTCTGAGGCTGCTGAGCTGTCCCCAGGGTGAAAAAGAGAATGAAGGTGAGCACAGAGGCATCACGGAGCCGCGGGGAAAGGTGGGAGAGCTGGTGCAGTTATCCTGGTGCCTGCTCTTAGGAGGCAGAGAGCGTATGGGTATGGGAAAAGGAGGGTGGGCAGCAGCTCAGCTGCAGGGGGGTGCTGTTAGTGGCTGCATGCTCACCTCAGGTGTCCCAGAAATTGGGGAGAACACTGCAGCTGGTCTCCATGAGGTGTCCCTAGTGGTTCATCTTCCCTGGCTGATATCTTTCACAGGGTTAAAGGCATTACAGTCTGTCTAGCCCCATTGGTAGTATTAAATGAGGAAAAATGAGTGGCCTGTTTTGCAGGGACCATTGTGAGATGAAGCCTGTGACACGAGGATTTCCGTGTGCGTGAAGTTAATTTTAAAACTGTGGGTGGGTAATCCTTCAGCAGCTGCTGCTCGGTGTCCAGCCACCTCCTCTGCTGCTCTGCTCTCCAGAGCTGCTCTTGGTGCAGGACAGTGCCTGGAGGTGGTCTGTGTGCCCAGCTGCCGAAGCAGGACACATTGCTGAAGCTCAGGAGGCATAGCTGAAGCTCAGCAGCTCTCCCAGCCCTGATCAGGTGCTGAGGGATGGGGAGAGTTCAGGAAAATGGAAGCAAACTGAGGTCTCATCAGAGAAGTGCTCTGGCTTTGCCAATGGCAGGCCACCTTCTGTGTTAGAGGAAGTGTCTTGTGGGCAGGATGGTGCAGATTTAGAATCATAGAATCATAGAACTGCCCAGGCCGGAAGGGACCTCCAAAGGCCATCTAGTCCGACCTCCCCGCAGTCAGCAGGGACACCCCCAACTAGACCAGGTTGCCCAGGGCCTCGTCGAGCCTCTCCTTGAATATCTCCAGGGATGGGGCCTCAACCACCTCCCTGGGCAACCTGTTCCAGTGCTCCACTACCCTCACAGTAAAGAACCCCCTCCTAATCTCCAGTCTAAATCTGTTCCCCTCCAGCTTGAAGCCATTGCCCCTCGTCCTGTCACTGCAGGCCTTTCTAAAGGCCTGTGGAGCACCTTCTGTGCACCTTCTGTGGAGCTCCTTCCTGCAGGGGGTCCCTTGCAGCAACAAGCAGGGTGTTCAGCAGTGTAGATCTTGGCTCTGGTGTTTGGGGGAGAGGTGAGGTCCATTCCTGTGCTCCCTATGAAGGAACAGGGCTGTTCTGTGGAAGCCGTTCTTCCGAAACCTTCCCTCACAGCTCATTTTTTCCACCGTTCCCACTAATATCACCAGTGCTGCGCTGCAGGTTTCGCTGCCTGCCCTGACAGTAGCCCAGCTTTCTGCTGCGCGTTCCAACCCAGAAGGACATCTCCAGCCCAAGAATTCAATTTTAAGAAGCTGGTGACTTGCTTACTGGCATGCCCTTAGGCAGGCTAAGCTCTTAAATGCTGCGATTGTTGTAGTATTTTGCGTGGTAATGATCTGTTGTAACTAGCTGGCAGGCAGAGACCAGTCTGGAGGGCTGCTCTGTGGCTGCCGTTCACAATGTGAGTGCTGGGGGAGTTTGGGGCGGGCCCCTCCTTTAATGGCAGAGCGCTGGAGGCCTGACAGCAGCCAGATCTGCTGCTCTGCTCTCCAGAGCTGCTCTTGGTGCAGGACAGTGCCTGGAGGTGGTCTGTGTGCCCAGCTGCCGAAGCAGGACACATTGCTGAAGCTCAGGAGGCATAGCTGAAGCTCAGCAGCTCTCCCAGCCCTGATCAGGTGCTGAGGGATGGGGAGAGTTCAGGAAAATGGAAGCAAACTGAGGTCTCATCAGAGAAGTGCTCTGGCTTTGCCAATGGCAGGCCACCTTCTGTGTTAGAGGAAGTGTCTTGTGGGCAGGATGGTGCAGATTTAGAATCATAGAATCATAGAACTGCCCAGGCCGGAAGGGACCTCCAAAGGCCATCTAGTCCGACCTCCCCGCAGTCAGCAGGGACACCCCCAACTAGACCAGGTTGCCCAGGGCCTCGTCGAGCCTCTCCTTGAATATCTCCAGGGATGGGGCCTCAACCACCTCCCTGGGCAACCTGTTCCAGTGCTCCACTACCCTCACAGTAAAGAACCCCCTCCTAATCTCCAGTCTAAATCTGTTCCCCTCCAGCTTGAAGCCATTGCCCCTCGTCCTGTCACTGCAGGCCTTTCTAAAGGCCTGTGGAGCACCTTCTGTGCACCTTCTGTGGAGCTCCTTCCTGCAGGGGGTCCCTTGCAGCAACAAGCAGGGTGTTCAGCAGTGTAGATCTTGGCTCTGGTGTTTGGGGGAGAGGTGAGGTCCATTCCTGTGCTCCCTATGAAGGAACAGGGCTGTTCTGTGGAAGCCGTTCTTCCGAAACCTTCCCTCACAGCTCATTTTTTCCACCGTTCCCACTAATATCACCAGTGCTGCGCTGCAGGTTTCGCTGCCTGCCCTGACAGTAGCCCAGCTTTCTGCTGCGCGTTCCAACCCAGAAGGACATCTCCAGCCCAAGAATTCAATTTTAAGAAGCTGGTGACTTGCTTACTGGCATGCCCTTAGGCAGGCTAAGCTCTTAAATGCTGCGATTGTTGTAGTATTTTGCGTGGTAATGATCTGTTGTAACTAGCTGGCAGGCAGAGACCAGTCTGGAGGGCTGCTCTGTGGCTGCCGTTCACAATGTGAGTGCTGGGGGAGTTTGGGGCGGGCCCCTCCTTTAATGGCAGAGCGCTGGAGGCCTGACAGCAGCCAGACTAGCGACGGAGACTCCAGCCTGAGGATTTGCGGGGGGGTTTCTTGCCTATCAAGTGTCATTTGATGCTGAGTGGGAAACCATCCTTGGGGCTTCATCAGGGAGGCTTTGTGTACAAAAGGTTCTGGTTAGGAAGAATGGCTCCACAGGGATTAACACAGGAAAAAAAGGTCGGTTTGCATCAATAACAGCAAGGCAGAATGTTATCAGGACAATCTCCTTCCTAGCCCTCCTACCTGGGTTGTCACACTGCCTCCAGCAAGCAAAAGCTCTTTGGTCTGTCCCCAGGCCACTTCTAGCCCTGGAGCAGGCAATTGCTCTCCAGCTGCAGAGGTTGGAGGTGTGGGGAGTGCTCTGGTGTGAAGGCACAGCATATTCTGAGCAGGTAATTCACCAGCTGACACAGCTGGAAATCGCTTGGAAAACTTGTGAAAAGACTTTATTTCCCCCCTTTTTTAAAAAACTGAAAGCTATGGAAGGAGTTAGAGCCTGACAAAATGGGGACCTGAATGCAACAACCCTGAGTAAACCCTGAGCATGGTACTTCTAACCTGAGTCTTCCCAGCATCTTACCTGGCTTTTAGTTTTGAATAATTTCTTTCAAAGGATTCAAAAGGAAATGCAATGTCATAAGAATTCTGAGTGTTTTTCCTGTGCCCTCTGGGCAGCACGGTTGGACCTGTGTGCAGTGAGCTGGTGACAGTGGCTTCCCTGGGACAGGGGTGCTGGTTTTGTGGAGGAGTGGTTCAGGAAGGTGCTGCTTGAGAGGGAGGAGAGGAGCAGGGCCCTACAGCCCCCTCAAAGCCCCTGCGGCCCACTTGCTCAGCTCAGCACACGTCAGCCCAGCTGCCCTGCTAGAGAGTGATCTGTATTTGAGATTTGGCTCCAGGTGCAATATTTCCATAAAGATTTGCTAATTCAAAGGTTCCTGTTGCACCTCTGTGTAACGCAAGACCTTACCCCTAAGCAGCAGACTTCCTGGATAGCTTGCTGCATTGTTCCTGTAGCTTGGAGCCCTGATGTGGTTAAGCAAATGCTAGGAGAAAGGTGGTACTGAAGGCTATTTTAATACAGAATATGGCATAATCAGGGAAAACAGGCTCCAGATTGAAAGGAACAGAGGCTGGAAACCCTTTGCCATTCTCCCTGGCAGCAGCCATTCTGCACAGAGACATGCTTTCTGTCCTTCTGTTTGCCTTCCCCCTGCTCCATGCAGGTGTTTGACTCTCCTCCCTGTGCCCTTCTCTCTGTAGGTGTATGTGGTTGGGAATGACAGCTCGAGCCTGCTGCTGGGATCCTTGCAGTCAGTCCTGGGAGTGGTTTTTTCCCTCTATTCCTTCGCCAAGCAGAATGTGTCATACTTACGGTAAGAAAGGATTGTGCATGACTTCTTCTGGGGTTTCATCTCTGTTCTGCCCACCTCCAAAGGACGTGCTCCGTGTGGGCACATACAGAAGCTGAGATTTATTTTCTCACCCTGAAGAGCTCTCATTCAAAGTAGGCAATAACTGCAGGCATGGGCAAGGTACAGGACCTTACTGGCAGACCTGTGCCCAAGGAAGCAGTTCTCCTGTTAGTTTTTGTCTTCCCCAAAGCCAAAACATTCAGCGTAGAGGCAAGTGTGCCTGGTGGGCACCTTGGTAGTGCAGGTTAACTCTTAGTGCTCCCCCTCATCTGGGAGCAGGAATTGTGATTGTTTCTGGACTGAGATGGTGACGCTGGGACATGGCTGGGTGTCAGAGGGATTTGTGTAGCAGGGATTTAGAAACAGGGTAAAAACTACATAAAACAACTTGAGCGCTGGCTCTTAGAAATACAAGATCATTTTTTTCTGACCAGGGATCACTCTCACCTGATAAATGCAGGACCTGCCTCTGGGCAGCTGTCCCCCATGCTGTGCCCAGCTCCCTCAGGATTGATGTATGATGGTGAGCATCACGTGTGTCAGTTGTGGTGGCAGGGACAGTGGTGGCCAGGTGTTGGCTGTCCTCTCTCCTTTCTCCTCCTGGGCTGCCCCGAGCTTGGACCAGCCTAGTAAATACACTCCTGGTGGGTTTACACTTCGCTTCGGAGATACTGGCATGTGGGTACTGGAGGCTTTCCCTAAAAGGTTTGTGTAGACACAGCCTCTGCTATTATTAAAGATGTCATTAATCACTTCAAAGAGTAGTGAGTGCTGTGGCAAGTTCGTAGAACAAGCCAAGTTAACACTGCTGCTGGGTGAACAGAGTCGCTGCTCGCTTCTCTGTTTGCACAGGAATTTGGCAGGGCTAACTAAAACCACAGCTGCCTGGAAGTGTTCGGATTTCCAGACCCCTGGCATAGCGCTGCTACTGCACCTCATTAACCTGCATCTTTCCTTGGCAGGGCTTTCCGTGCCACCTTACAGTGCTCCCTGTCTCCTTCCTCCTCTCCCTTGGCACAGCTGACAGCTCCGTGCTTTGTCATGTTGGCGTGGAGCACCGGGCTGAGGCTGTGTGGAAGCGGCTGTCCTTGTACAGACATGCTGTTCAGACAGAGTGCTCCCTTTCCTCGCCGGGCTGAAATCTCAGAGCACCCAGATCCTTCCATCTGGGAATGCCAGAAGGACAGGATGTGCTGCTGATCCCCTTATAAACTGACACGAATGCCTTCAGCTGCCAGAGCTGTCAGCCCAGAGCATCCCAAGGAGTGTCTGTAGCTGCTCCAGAGCGTTCTTGTCCTTTCCCCTCACCCTGAGGCGTGTGGTCCCGTTGCAGTGCTGCTGTGCAGGGAAGGGTGCAGTGGGCACAGCGAAGTCACCACTGCTTTCTCTGTCTTGCCAGCTCCCTGTGCCAGGAGATCCTGCTGTGGTTCTTGGAGAAGTCGGAGCGAGAGGTGTCCCTGGCCGTGCTGGAAGGTTTTGCAGGGTTGAACAGCAGCGTGTGTGGCCTCCACCCGCGGTGCCGGTTCCATGTGGGCAGCGAAGGTGGTGCCACCATCGCAGTGGAGGAGACCATCAGGTGAGCACTGTTGGGGCAGTGCCAGGTGTGGAGAGCAGTCCCGAGGCATCATTCAGCACGTAGGGCTTTTCATGGCATGCCTGGCAGAGAGAACCCAGGTGAACATGGGGCTGCTGGTGCTGTCCCATCATGGTCTCATCCCCCCAGGTGCCCAGGTAGATGGCTGTGTACGCCCTGCTCAGACAGGCAATGCTCCACACAGCCTCTGGGTTCCTCATACATGGCACAGAGCTCTGACTTTCAGCCCTGAAAAGCAGCACGCTCTGTCTGAGTGTCAGCGTGCGCTCGCTGTGTGCTTTCCCTGAGTCCCAAGTGCTGCTTGTGGGGTGTCTGGGAATGGGACGTGTTCCTTCAGTCCCAATGCTCCCCAAATTCAACTGCTGCCCTCCAGCCTGTGCCTGTCTCATGGCAGATCACGGCTGTATGGAGCGAGTGGAATCCCTCGGGCGCAGGTGGCACCATTGCAACAAGGACTCTAGCGATGCCAGTGTGGTAGAGCCAGCGACTGAGCTCCCCTCCTGCTCTTGCAGATGGTCTCTACAAGTAGAGGCAGAGCGTGGCCATGTGGGGAATAAACTGCAGCCATTAGACTCCAGCCACGCACACTGGGACCGTTCAGCAGCGTGACATTTGGTGCAGGGAGGGCTAGCTGTTAGTTGGCCGTACGAGCCCAAGGCAGCGCTGTCGAGGCGGCAGAGCTCACAGCTCCTGCCCAGGAGTGTCTGTGGGGTGGGTGTGCCAGGAGCTGTGTGTGTGCCCATAACAAAACCTTGTACAAATACGCTTGGTTTGGTTTCATTTCCATCTCCTCCTGACCTGAATTAGAAGAAGGTCTGCCCCGGGGTCTGCACTGGTTAAACTGGGTATACTTTAAAATTACTGTTTAACGGCCATGGCTCTGCCGGTGTCTGTCCTACTTTCACGGCTATGACCACTGCATGAATTAGCCACCACTAATCCTGTTCTTTATAGCATGGCTGGATCAAACGTGTGTTTCGCGTTTGTGGTTACTGTTGATGTTATTCCTTTAACGAATGCAGGTTAATTAATAAACTGAGTGCGTGATCACGTAGACCAAATGAACTGAGCAATAGTTTGGCTCAGCTGCCCTCCAGGCTTGGTGGTGCTGTGGAGGAAGGTTTCCAAGAGAAGGCAGAAGCGGCATTTCGCCGTGCCATGGAGTCATTTAGAGCCAGCCCTGGGGGGGGTGTGTGGGTATGTTCATGTTGGTGACACAGTGGCCTGTTTCAGCGATGAAGATGAGGCCCTCTACCAGAAGGTTTCCTCAGAGCAGTGCCGTGTGGAGAACTTAGTGGAGCTCTTGTCTCACTGCCAGAAGAGTGGTCTAGCTGGAGACTTCTTCATCCGGTGCCTGAAGGTAAGGGCCAGCAAGTCTCTGTTTGAGGCACATCTGCGGGAACACTGGGCCAAGAGGTCTGTGTGCAGACAGCAAAAGGGACCGAGTGTCCCCTTAAGAACCTCGGGAGCACTGAGCCAGGATATGGCACGTGGTGGAGGATCCTGCTTTGTGCAGGCAGAAGAGCCTGGGAGAGGGCGGCAGTCCTGGTCCCTGGAGGGTTAACCCTCGTTCTCCTTGGACTCTTTCAACAACAGGAGCATGTCTGAAGTTTAATGGTGTGTTTGAAGCTGTGAATAATCCCTGTTGCTTCCTTGGCTCTAGAGGGGCACCTTCTCCCTGTGATCCTGCTCCGAGCCCCTGTGGTTCCAGCCTGGGCTGGGCTGTGCTTTCTGTGCCCATGCTTCAGGTTGAGCCCTGTCTTGTAGTTGTGCTGGGGTGGCAGCACCCTGGGTGTAGGGACGCTGCTGTGACACTGATGGGACATCCAGGAGTTGTGGGCAGCTCTCAGACCTTGATGTACTGAGTGGAAGGTCGTGGTTGTGTGAGGAGTCAGTGTGAGCTCTGCAAAGGGGACGGGGGATCTGGTGCCTTTGTGAGCAGCCAAGCCAGAAGCAAGGCTGCAAGCAGAGACCCAGCAAGCCTGACAGCCCAGAGGATGTTGGCCCTAGGAGAAGGTGATACTCCATGTGGTGTCCATGGGGACAGAGGCCGCTGAAACGCGTGTGTGTGGAACGAGATAAGGCTGAAAGAGGGGGAGGTAACCAGGAGCCCTTTGCAGCAGAGTAGAGGTGTGGGTAGCGAGGACCTGCTGCGCCCAGGACCACTGGCCTGGTGATTTGCCTCTATTAAACCATTGCCTCCCTGTGCTTCTTTCCCGGCAGGCACTGACTCGTGTGGCTGCAGAGGATGAGGAGGCTTCAAACTTAGCTGCAGAGCCTGGAGGGAGTCTCCTGGAGCTGGAGCAGTACCATGCTGCGCAGAGGAGGAAGCTGCTGGTCCTGCAGCTCGTGGCCACGCTGTGTGAGAGTGTCTCGGACACCATCTTCACAGACATTGTTCAGGTTGGTCATGGCAAAGCCCTGGAGCGTGTGGCAGACCAAGCTCCAGGCTGCTGGGATCTAAGGAGACAGTGACTAAGAGACAGCTGGAGAAAGCTAGAGCATCCCCAGGAAAAGCAGTTTATTGATCCAGTTGCAAGTGTCTCAACAAGACACCGTCCTGTGCGGTGCCAGCAGGAAGGACAGAGTAAGCTGCAGAGACAGGAGGGAGCAGCCCAGCAGACATCTTCATATTTGTGTCCGTGGTTGTGTATTAAAAGCCAAGAGGGTAGTCTGTGTGTTAATCAGAACTCTGGTTTGTCAGCTTCTTGTCTTTATTTTGAGCAAAATTTATTCCAACTTTAACAAAGCTTAAAGACACCTGTACCCAGCAGACCTTTTAAGCGAGTTCTTGCTGCCTGTCCGTGGTGGTGGTGCTTGGTTTTTCTGGCATGCCCTGGCAGCTGCCTCCGGGGTGCTGCAGGATGAACATGGCACGGCACTGCCACCACGTCCCACTTGTCCCCTATCCCTGAATAGGCCCCTCGTGGCTCTTCTCTGGTTTCTGCTGCTGGGACGCCCACCCCGAGTGGTGTGTCCGGTTATCAGGGTTGGCATAACCATGCTCATACAATCAGCACTTTTTCATGAATGGGCAGCTGCAAAGTTTATTTAATATCATTTAAAGGCCAAATGGGGCTCCTCAAACCTGCTACCAAAAAGGGTTGTTAAAATATGACCCTTGTGTCTGCCCTGAGCCCACGCTGCGGCAGCGCTGAAGGGGATCAGCTTTCCTGCCCCATGCCAGGTTGGGAAGGTTTGGGCATCGAGGGCAGCGCGGTATTCCCCAGCTGATCAATGTATTTTAATTTCCTCATCCTGCTTTGTTGTCTTGTTTTTTGTTTTTTTGTAACTCAGTGACCTGGTTATGCAGTTAACTGTGGCTGCCTTGGGCAGAGCGGGTCACTGCCAGCACAGGTTTCCTCACTTTTCTCCTTGGGACAAAGGAGTCTTTGTGTGTGCTCTGCAGTGACAGAGGGGACCCAGCCGGTGGGTGCGGCAGCCGGCACCGCTTTGTCCTAACCTGCCTCTCCATCCCACCCACCCTTTCCCATCCACCCATTCCCAGCGCGAACGGCTCCGCTCCCTGGGTCAGGAAGTCGGGATGGGACATGGGGGAAGGATTCTGCCAGGTTTCTGAGTCCAACCGTGAGTGTTGGGATAAAAGGAAACAACCACCACAAAAAGAATCCCAGACAAAAAAAAAAAAAGGGCATTATACTTCCACCTGGGGGTTGTATTTCAGGGAGGGCTCCCTCGGGTGGGGACAGCAGTTGCAGAGCTGTTTATAAGCAGGTTCTGCAGCACGGGGTTCCTCCAGGGCATTTGCTTTTTCTGTGGGCTCTCTGGAGCATGGCTGTGTACATAACGGGGTTGGAGCAAGTGGGATCTTCTTCCCAAAGCCAGACCCCAGGAGTGACAGTAGCTGTGAACCTCCTCAATTGCACAATATATTTACCATTTCCACCTCTCATAACAGAGTTTCACGATACTTATTTGATTTCCTTGGTACACCAAGGATGTTCTTCTCCTGCATGAGACAGAAACATGTCCCAGTGTTTTACTTTTCAAGTGTTTTTTTCCCTTCTAGATTAGGATGTTTTTACTGTCCTTCTAGATTAGGAATTTTTTTTAACTTTTTGTTTTTCTCAGTAGCTATCTGCTGGCGGATTATTTATGTATGATGTTCTTATTTTTCGTATTAAATATAATTTCAACCCATTCAGCTTGTGTGTCACTGTTTTGGGAGAGCAGATGTTCTGACACTTGTTTTTACTCCCTATTCTTGCTGTTTGACGGCATTTCATTTCTGGGCTAATCAGCCCCGAAGGTTACCCAAGCCTTTTCTCCCAGCCTTCCTACTTGCTGCAGTGGGGATGTGCTTAACGAAGCTGGCGGCAATCAGCTCGGCTGCTGATGATGAAACGCGTTGCCTGCACCCTGTGCCTGTGCCCTGGAGGCTGGAAGTGTGGGATTTGGTGCAATAGTACCTTGTTGCCTTCCTACTTTGTTTTCCAAAATAGGAACAAAAGAGTTCCTCTTATTTTGCAACAGCCCTGTTATGGGGTAGCGACCCCCATCCAGCCCCTTCCCAGCATGGCTGGGTGCCCGGGTGCTGCTGCAGCTGGCAAAGAACCTGGAGAAAATAACTCACTGATTTCAAGCTCCGTTAGAAGTGCAGGAAGCCCATGGGATCAAAGGGTTTGGTGCCAAGTGTCGAGAAGGCCAGTGCCAGCCAGGCACCATCATTGTGGGCTTGGGCTGGGGGGAAAAAAAGTATTGTGAGAAAATCACCAAGTGTGAGACACGTGGTAAATGGCTGGGCTCCAGCATCACAGAATCATGTGGGGTTGGAAGGGACCTCTGGAGATCATCTACTCCAAACCCCTTGCCAAAGCAGGTCCACCCAGAGCAGGTTGCCCAGGAACTTGTCCAGGCGGGTTTTGAACGTTTCCAGAGAAGGAGACTCCACCATCCCCCTGGGTGGTGTCTGATACGGGGGAACCATGGGGCAGCCACAGGAGCTGGGGCCATCCTGGGCAAGGGCAGGTGGCTGGGAATGACCTCAGCCCAGACAAGGGGTAGGAAAGGGCCCCCTCTGTGCTACTCCCCAGGGGGTGGGCAGTGGTTTGGGGCTCCAGCACCCTTAGAGCCACCTCAGGAGCTCAGACTCCCTCCTGCATTCCTGGTGCATCCCCAGCTGGGCTTCACCAGCACCCCAGCCATCCCCCAGGCTCACCAGGGCTGAGGGCAAGGGAGCTGGGAAGGCAACTGGGATGGGTCTGAGAGGGAAGGTCGGGATGGTGGCAACAAGAAGGAAACAAAGGGTTCATAGAAAATTGCACTTCAAAAAGAAAAAGTCAAATAGATGCAAAGAGAGACAGCAAAAGTCTGGCCTTGGGGAGGCAGCAGGGACCCCCTGGGTGTCTCCCTCCCCCTAACTGCTCTTCCTGTGCTCTCCTGTGGCAGGTGGAGGAGTTTGTGGCAGCCACATTGCAGCGGGCCTGCCTCAGCCCGGCACAGGGCCCCGGCGCAGCGGCGGAGACGCAGACCCTCGCCATGGCCATGGGGCTCGTGGCCGCCATGCTCGGGGGAGCCGTCCAGGTGAGGGGGCGAAGCCGGGGGGCTCGGTGGCCATGGGATACGGGGAGAGGGGTGACCAGGCACTGTCCTGCTGCTGCCACCAGCCGAGGGGGACTGCAGCCAGTGCTCTGGGTGCTCCCCAGGTTGGGGTGCTTCTTTAATCCCAGAGTGTGTATATGTGTATGTATATATCTTAGAATCATAGAATGGCTAGAGTTGGAAGGGCCCTTAAAGATCATCAAGTTCCAACCCCCCTGCCATGGGCAGAGGCCAGGTTGCTCAAAGCCCCATCCAGCCTGGCCTTGAACCCCTCCAGGGATGTTCTCATCGCCTCGCAGCTTCTCTGGACAACCTGTTCCAGTGTCCCACCACCCTCACAGGAAAGAATTTCTTCCTAATATCTAATCTAAATCTCCCCTCTTCCAATTTAAAACCATTACCCCTTGTCCTGTCACTGCACTCCCTGACACAGAGTCCCTCCCCAGCTCTCCTGTAGCTCCCTTCAGATACTGGAAGGCTGCTATGAGGTCTCCCCGGAGCCTTCTCTTCTCCAGACTGAACAACCCCAGCTCTCTCAGCCTGTCTTCATATCAGAGGGATGGAGCATCTCCCCTATATATATATATATATATATATATGTTATTTTTTTCTCAGAGCAATGCCAGGGCACCGGCCAAGGGTGCAATGCTGGCAGGGCACCCCTGAGAGCACAGTTAATTTATAATCAAAAATCTGCTTCTGAGAAGGTCCTGACAGAGCAGCGCAGTCACATACAGCATCTTTAAATACCAACTCTGCATCCCAACACATCCAAGGCTCCATCTCTGGAGCGCAATGAACTTCCCAGTGTGGGCTGTATCATTCTCTGAAATCCTCTATAAAAGCGGTACCTTGCCCGGTTACCCCGTTATGTGGAGTCTGCTTTGCTGATACTGGGGAGCAATCGCACGTTCGTTAGCGCGCTGCAATCAGCCTGGCTTGCACTTACATCACCGAGCTGCTGGGGTTGCTTCATCCCCGGGCTCGCCCAAAGGAAAACCCAACTGTTAGTGGAAAAAGATAATTTATTGTCTCGTGTTGCTAAATTCCTAACGCTGGGAAAAGAGGCATTATTTAGTTGAAGAAAACTTAAAACCAGAGTCTCGCAGCTCTAATGGGCCCCCTCCCAGGCGAGCTCCCGCTCCCACTCGGGCGTTAATGGGAACAACTTAACAAATTGAACACAAAAGGTTTTGGAGGCAGCTGCAAAACTGTTTGGGTTTCAGTGGCCAAGGGATTTTTACAGAGACATCCACAAGCTCCCGAAAATGTCTGCTAAAGCATCACTTTTCAGGTCTTGCAGATTTTGCTTCTGGGATTAGCAGTTAAATCCAGGTTAGGGCAGGAACTTCTCCCCCTCGGGCGCTGCAGCCCTGGGACATGTCACAGCTGCCTTGCCTGGAGCTGCCTTCCAGGCAGGACCGAAAGCAGGACCAAAGGCAAACCCCAGGTGGCCCTGGCAGGATGGTGGGAGGGATGTCCCCAGCTCAGGCCCCATGCTGAGCGTGAGGGTCCCGCACGGGCACAGCTCTCCTTTGGGCTCTCACCCTTCCCACCTTCTCCCCAAGCACCTCGGGCTGGTGTGGTCATGGCTAGGACCAGCACTGGGGTCACAGGAGCAGCTCATGGTGCCTGGAGTTGGGTGGTGTTTGTGGGGTGGAGACAGAGCAGCCAGCTTGGTGCTGCCGTGGGGCTACGAAGTGCCTTCAGTGGCTCATGCACCCCTGAGCTACGGACCTGCCTTGCCAGGAGCATCCCGAGGAGTGAACCTCCCGTTACCTCTGTGCCAGTGCTGCTTCTCTCCCCCACACAGCTGCAATCCAGTGACTTTGCCGTGCTGAAGCGGCTGGTGCCGTTGCTGGAGGAACTCTCCCGCACCTACCCCGAGCCCCTCACCCAGGAGCTGGCCGCAGACCTGCGCATCGCCATCTGCACCCACGGCGCCTTCTCCCCCGAGACGGTGGGTGCCGCTGCCGACAGCGTGCTGGGGAAGAAGCCAGGGATGGGAGCGCAGAGCCCTGCCGGCACCCCCGGTGGAGCCCCAAGCCCAGGGGGTGGCCGGGCACCACCACGACATGGCCTCTCGGCTCCCAGGGAGAGGAGTGAAGAACAGAGTGTGAGCCATGAGCCTGGCACTGTGGGTCCCTCTCCATCCCCGTGTGCCGACAGCCCAGCTCCAGCTGGGCTCCAGGAGCTCCTGGTATCAGCCTACGACCCCCAGCCCCCCAGCCGAGCTGCCGCCCTGCGCTGCCTCGCCAGCCTGATCACGCAGAAGGATCCAGAGGCACTTCGGCTTCAGGAGAAACTCCTCCAGGTACCAGGCTCCTGACATGGTCCCTGTTCTGTGTTGTGGTGTGGAGCTGGGGCTGAGCGTGCCGGTAGGCTGGGGACAGTCCCTATGATTGGAGCCCTCTGACCTTGCCGTCACCATCAGCTGAAGGTGCCAGGCAAGAGGGACTGGGTGCAGGGCCGGTGCCAATGGTGCTTCCCCCTCCTCGCAGGTGTTCCTGGAGAACATGCAGCATGAGGACGCCTTCGTCTACCTCTCCGCCATCCAAGGTGAGCGATGCCCATCTGGGGCAAGTGCTGGTGCTTCATAGAAGGGTTTTTGCTTGGGGGGCCTTCGGGCAGACGCAGAGCTGCTCAGCGTCTCCTGCCCCCCTGGACCGTGTCTTCGTGCTGTTTGGTGGAGCCTGGAGCCACAGGCAGGTTCTGTGCTGTGTTCCCGAAGCCGGCAGGCTTCAGCTCCCCATTGTGCTTACTCAGTGGGTAATTAGCTCATTTACCCTCTGACTGAACTGCTGAGCTGCACAGACCACAAGTGCCTCCTCAGTGGAGCCTGGGGCAGGTTCACCCTCGGGGCATCCCCTGGAAGGACACCTGGGAGCCAGTCACCATCCCCATGCCAGGTCCATGCCACTGGCCTGGGGCTGTGGTTTCAGCACACTGGGGGGCATGGCCCTGGCACCCCAGCCCTGCACCTGAGTGACATTTTGGCTCAATGGTGTGTTCAGCTGAGGCTGGCAGAGGAACCAGGGCCATGGGGACCCACCGGGGCTCTGCCATGTCCCTCTGTTCCGGCCAAGGTGGTCACTACCGACTGGTGCCAACCAGATGCATGGAAGTTGAACCATAGCAGCTTTCTCTGCGTTGGTTCCCAGATCCATTGCCTCTCATGGCCTTGTGAATTGTTGCCCCCCCTGAGTGGGGAGAGCAGGAGCGGGCACACAACCAGCCCCAGCGCTGGTCCCAGCTGTGCAGGCAGGAGGTGAGGAGCAGCAGGTTGGCAGGAGAAGAGCTCTGCTCGCTGCCCTCCTGCCTGTGCTGGGGTCACTGAGTGCTGCCACTGCTGATGCCTCTTCCCAGGAAACCCTGGAGTCCACACTTGCTCCGACAGGCTCAGGGCAGCCCCGTGCCCACCAGGCAGCCAGTTGGGGTTTGCAGGCAGGTGCCTCCACAGATGGCATGACGTGAGTGTCCTGTGGAACGGCTGTGCCAGCTGGTCGCGGTGTGCCGGGTTACTTGGAAGGGAGGTGCCGTTCCCATGGCCCGGAGCGATACCGGCACCGCCGGGAGCCTCGCCTGGCATTGGGAAGGGAACCCTCAGCCTTAGCTGGAAAAGGAGCTTATCACTGTGCTTCCCTCTGCCTGTACGGTCTTGAGTGGGATGGGTTTGTCCTTGCCCCGCAGGTGAAACACAAACGCTTCAACCGTCCCCGGGTGATTAATACACCCTGCGCAGCTGCCTCCGTGTTTCGCAGCCCGGCTGCGGCTGTGATTAACCCTGACGCGGTTCCTTGCGGTGGTGACTCACCCAGCCCGCGCCGCGCTGGCACTGGCACCTGCGGCGTGCCATGCACGGGGCTGGCCACTGTGCCAGGGGGGCTCCCTGCCACCCAGCTCGGGCTCCCCACCACCGCAGAAGGGCTTGCCCACCGTGCTGGGACCAGAGCTGGCTGTCGTGTCACCGCTGGGTATCCCAGAGCTGGGCTCTGGGGAGGTGATGCCAGAGGAGAGATTGCTGCCCCACCAGACATGCCTGGGCTTGTGGAGGGTAACCCACGCCGGGCATCCTCCGATAACCGGGGAACGGGGTTGGAGGTGAAGGCAGCTGCTCCTGGAGGGCTTGGCCTGACTCAGCGCTTGGCACTACTGGGGCAGCCTCTGCCACTCGCCCTTTCCCTGGAGAGCAGCTGCCTTTCCCCATCGGAAAGGCGCCCACTGCCCGGGCTCTGGCTCCCAGCCGGGGCCAGGCAATCCCAGAGTGTCCGTGGAGCCCCAGCAGGGACAAGGACACACCAGCAGCGTGTGCCCGATGGCAGGGATTTGGGACCAGCAATCAGACACTGTGCCCGAGTGTCACCTGTGGTACCCGCTGCCCCGATGCTGGGCCAGCCTGGGGCAAGCCCCGCAGCATCCGACGGCCGGCATGTCGAGTCAACGCTCGGTCAAGGAACATTAACCAGCAGCAATTAGTGGGCACCTGCTGCCAACTGCTAAATTATTTATTTTTCAGCTTGGCACCCAGCCGGACCCAGCACTGGGCTGCCCTGGTGCTGTGGCTTTGTGTGGAGGGGCTGTGGGATGGGCTGTGTTGCCAGGGTGGTGCAGGGGGTCTGGTGGGTGATGACTGCACTGAGGACATCGGAGTGGTCCCTCTGCCGAGGGTGGTGGCACGTGCCATCCTCCAGCCTGGCCCTGACCCACGCTTTCCTCTCGCTCTCCCCCCAGGCATTGCCCTGCTCTCCAGTGAGTACCCGGAGCAGATCCTGCCTGTCCTGCTGGCACGGTACGGGTGCCCAGTGCGGGGCACGGAGGACACCGTGGCCGCTGTCACCAGGATGAAGCTGGGCGAGGTGCTGATGCGTGTCACCCGGGTGCTGGGTGAGTCTACAGCCACGTCCGTGGGCACAGCAATGCTGGCCACGGCCAGCAGCCATGACACCATTGGGTCCCTTACCGCTCTCTGCCATGCAACCAGGTCTGGGGGGCAAAACCATCATGGGCTTCTTGTCCAGAGGTGAGAACCAGCTCCTACAGCCCTACCATAGGGCGCTGGAAGCAAAAGAGTGGCCAGCTGGGGTTTGCCAGTGGGCAGGAGCAGGGTGGTGGATCCTGCCGGCAGCCCACCGTCCCCTCGGCCGGCAGTGCTGGGCTCAGAGGCTGCCGGGAAGTGCCCGGACACGCAGGGCTGAGGGGTAGAAGCTGGATGAGGTCTTTCCGGCAGCCGCTGTTGGGACACGTCCTAAAACGCCTCCTCTTTCTCCCCGGCAGAGGCCAGGCCAGCAAGAGCGTGTGGCCGCAGCCCTCCACAGCTGGGGAGGGTGGCAGCCAGTGTCCCCACTGGGGGTCCTAGTCACTGACTGGGCACTTTGTTCCCCGAGTTGGCTGTGGCAGAGGTTGCCTGGCCTGCTGGAGCTTTCCTCCAGGGCACAGCCACCGCAGCGGAGTCCCCTGGCCGTGGTGGCATCCCTGAGCTCTGCCAGCTGTGGGCATCCCACCAGGGCAAGCACCGCTCCTCTGCCCTGCTGCCGGGATGGGGATGGGGCATCCTATGGGCCAGCAATCCCATCACCTCCCCGTGGAGCTCCAGCGAGCAGTGTGAGCGGCAGCAGAGGTCTCTGAACACCCCTGGGCGATGTCCGTGTGTCCATCCCTTGCCTTGCCCGGCGCTGCAGCCATGCTGTGCTGGGTTTCCCTCGGCGGCTGCCCCCGGCACAGCCGGCAGCGGGACGGTGGGCACGGCCCCCACCGCTGCTCCCCCCTCTCCCCGCGGTGCCTCCGCCGCAGGCAGCAACTCCGGCGCGTCCCGGCTCGCCTGCGTATTTATAGAACAAATCGCACAAAGTTGTTTTTGTTGCAAAGCTTCAGGATTCAAGCGTGAGGATTTATCCGGCGCTTCCAGAAACGCTCTCCTCTGTGCAGCCGCGCTTTGGAGCTCCTCCTGCTGCTGCCTGGGGACTGCTGTGCCTCCCTCCTGCTCTATCCCTATCCCTGGCCCCATCCCCATTCCTGTCCCTGCCCACCATCCCACTGGAGCTGCTTTTTTCCTACCCGGGGGGGCATTTTGCAGCGGGCACTTACTGCCCAGCAGATGGGCAGCGTCCAAGTGTGCGGTGCCATTCCTCTGTCCCCAGCAACGTGGGGCATGAGTGTTCACTGGGACCTTGCACCGACCCTGTTAAGCTTTCCCTGTAAACCCATAAATCTGCTCTGGGTGCACCACAGCAGACCTTTTTCCTTCTCCACCAGGGAGCACGTGCCTTGCTCACTGTAGACGGGGAGATGCTCTGTGCTCTCTCTGTGTGGCCGTCCAGCATGAGGCCAGTGTGCCCTCAGCTTCAGAGGGGATGCTCAGACCACCCAGCACTGCCGTAATCCCAATTCCTGACGGTGCAAGCACAGAGCAGGCTGCACTCCCCCCGGATGCACGGCCATCCTTGGCATCATGGTGCTGCCTCAAGCTCTCCTGCCCTGTGCCATGGAGGATCCATCCCTGCCCTTCCAAGCACGTGCTCCATCGTTAACAGGGATGGCCATGTAGGAACAGTGAAGCTACGACAGGATGGTCCTACAGAAGGACCCGGCTACCTGCTGCCCAGCTCTTGGCCATCGCATGCAGTATTTCCCTCCTTGCACACAGCCGGTGCCAGGCTGTCGGCATGCCAGCAGGGCAGGGGCTGGCCTGTCCCCAGCCCCTCCTCACAGCAGCAGCAGCCCCGAGCCCCCCATGTGCAGGGTGATGGGGGTCCCAGTGCTGCCCACGGGGCTTATTCATGTCCCTGCATCCGGGAGCATCCCGGCACATCCCGGAGCAGCCCCTGCCCGCTGGGAGCTGTGTCCACACCGTGGGACGTGTGGCCACCATCCCGGGGCACCTCCTGTGCTGGGTGATTGTGCATGCCGGTCACGGGCTCAGCGCGCCGACCTCTAATTAGGCGGCTCACACATCCGCAGCTCCTGCCTGTGCTAATTGGGGAGGGGGGTTGTGCGGCTGAATTAGGTGAGAATTTGGGCTTGGCGCTGCCTTTCTGTGTGCTTTGTCTGCGGTCACCTCTGAGCGGGGAAGGTGGGATGCACTGAACGGCCCCCGACAAAGGTCTGTGCTGTGGGGTGTGTGCTGTCTGTCGGGGGTTTGCCAGCACTCCGGGGGGGCTGCCCCACAGCATCCTTGTCCCTGACGTCACGATGAGTCCCCACCGAGGCTCTGTCTGTACCAGTCCTTATGCTGGGGAGCCGTGCTCCAGATGTTGCACCCAGCTGTTCAGTGGTGCTGCAAAGCCAAGGGGGGGCCCAATCTGGCTGCTCCCGACAGCACCAGGGCTTTAGCAGGAGGTCACCGTGGGTTTTCCCTTGCCCGTGACGTGCTACTCTGTTCTCTCTCACAGGGGACATGGTGTTCAAGCACCGGGAGCCACTGATCCAGGCCTTCTTGAGGGGCGCACGGGACCCCGACAGCACGCTGCGGGCCAGCAGCCTCTCCAACCTGGGCGAGCTCTGCCAGCGCCTCGGCTTTCAGCTGGGCTCCATCGTCCAGGAGGTATCGGCTCCATCCCAGCACCACCGACCCCTTCCCCGGATCTGCACCTGGGGAGCGTGGTGGGGGCTTGTTAATGAGGGCGGTTCATTAGCAGTTGGCAGGGCTGCTGAGTGCTCACTGATGGGGACACAACAGCCTGGGGGGGGGGTCCGTAAAGGAGGAGTGATATTTGCCGATATTGCGGAGTGTAAACGTCACTGGACCTGAAGCAAACGCTCAGGAAATTCTAGGCCTGATTTTTAGGGCTAAAAGCTTTATAATCAGCTGAAGATGTCACTTGTGCAGGGAAGCAATAGCCCAAGGAAATGCAGCGGGGCCTGCTCCACCCATGGAAATCTACTACAGGAGGATACCTGGGGGCACAGCTAATACTTGCCAATGGCACCTCCTCCTACTTAATGAGACCTCATTACCCTACCCGTTATCATGATGCAGCTGATGTGCAGCTGGTGGTGAGCAGGGGTGCTCATCCTTTGCCTGGGCTGGGGGCTCCCAGCAAGATGTGGCTGCCAGATCTGCAGGAGATCCTGATGGGGTGAGCTGGCTCTTGGGGAGTCTTCTCCTTGGAGATTTGAGAAGGGCTTTCTCGGAGCTGCTGGCATCATGGTCTGGGACCCCTCAAGCTGGTGGGTCCGTGCCACCACAGGAGCCAGAGCTTCAGCCCCCAGTGCCTCCCAGAGCAAGAGGGTGGCCAGGAGACATCATGGATGCAGCGCTCGGGCTTCCTCCCCGGTTCCCGCTCGCAGCCGCTCGGCGTCAGTACCGGCAGCGTTTGATGAGATGCCAATGCACCACACGCAGCTATTTCAGGAACACGCTAGCTCTGCTAATTCTCCCGGCTGTCACTGCCGTGGGTTTAATTAGGTTCCTTCGACTCTGCCTGCTTTTTATAAAGCTTTCCAAGGCGTCTGCGTGGCGTTTGGCCCCTGCGGGAGGGAGGGCTGCTCAGTGTCCCACGCCCCACAAAAAGCCGATCCCCCCCCAGTTGGGTGCCGGCAGGGGAATGTGGGGCTGCCCCACGCTGTGTGCAGGGATCCCATCTTCATCCTCCAGCCCCAGGCCACTGAGAGACATCCCCACCACACCAGGGGAGTCCCCAAAGATGGGGGCCATGGCTGGCTGCTCTGTCGAGTCCTTCCACCTCCTCCTGACCCTGCTGATGGCCCCCCTGCCCTGTCCCCACAGGTGACCTCCTGCTTGACAGCCATAGCCAAGACAGACCCCGAGGCCGAGGTGCGAAGAGCCGCCGTGCATGTGGTGGTGCTGCTGCTGCGGGGGCTCAGCGAGAAGGCCACCGAGGTGGGTCACCTCCCCACTTGTCCTTTGGGCAGGGGCAGCCTCCACCAGGCTCCTGCACATCCCCCAGAACCAGGACGGTGATCCTCAGGGGTGGCCCAGGGAAGGTCCCATGGGACTGGGACCTCCAGCTTGTCCCTCCCCCACCAAAGGGCTCCTTCAGCGCCGGATCCTTCATGGAGCAGAGCTGTTGGGGCATCTCTCTGAGCTGCTTGGCCATGCCACAGCGCAGTGCCTTGCTGCGGGGCAGTGCCAACACTTGGGAGCCGTGGGAGTTGTTCGTCGCTGATTTGACTTGGAAATGCCCGGTTTTTCCATGGGCCGTGGCCTCCCTTCCGGCTTCCCAGCAATGAGCATGTTGGGACTCAGCTCCCGTGGAGGAAACGGCCGGTTCCCCACAGTAATCCCAGCAGCAGGGATCTCAGCTTCTCCTTGTCACCCTGTGCCGGAGGGATGCCGCAACGCGCTGCTGTGCCGGACGGCGCTGCTGGTGTGTGAGGAAACTGAGTCACGGAGGGCTGGGGCTCACGCCTGGGGCAGGGTGGTGGTGGTGGTGGTGGTGCCGCCGTGTCCTGGCACCCGCTGGCAGCGTCGGTGGAAGGGGCAGCACCGTGCCTGCCGGGGCACGCCGAGGGTTGCGTTTCGGGTTGTTGCGGGTACAGGCAAGGTGCCGGCGGGTGCTGACGATTCTCCTGCCCGCTCTGCCCAGGTGCTGCAGGACGTCCTGCGGGACCTCTACCGCCTGTTGAAGCACGTGGTGGTGGCTGAGCCCGATGGTGCAACAGTGCTGCACGCCCAGCTGGCACTGGAGGAGCTGGACACGGTGATGAGGAGGGTCCTCTTCCCCCCGCAGACGCTGGAGAAGAAGATAGTGGTGCTGCCATAGCAGGGCCAAGGCCACAGAAACAAACTCTTCCTGGCCCAGCATCTGGACCAAGTGGCTCCCCAAGGGGAAGGATTTTCTGTGCCCACAGGACACTGCCAGCGGGTGCCAGCCCGGGAGGAAATCGCCTTGGAATTGCCCAGAAAAGGCCAGGGAGGGCAGGTGGCCAGGGCAGTGAGGGCTCGTTTGGATGGAGTGGGGCATTAAACAGAGACATGTTCACCCCTGTGTCTGTGACACCTCTGGGAGCCACACAAAGCCCCTGAGTGCCATCCTGGCCATGGCCTGGCCCGTGGCTGGGCTGTGCTCACCCTTGCAGGGTTAGGGTGGCAACAGCGATGCAGGCCCTGGCGAGCCCCTGGGAGCACCCTGGGAGGGTGGGCATCATCCCCCAGGGATGTCCCTGGGCTGGGGGAGCTGGTGCCTTGGGCTCCCCTGTGGCCAAAGAGCATTGGGTGCCACGTATGCCCTGAGGGTCAATGGGAGGGAAGGGAGTATCTGCTGTCTGACCCCCCCACTGTGGGCAGCCATGCACCCCAGGGGCTGGCAGGCAGCTGGCTGCTGCTGCATGGCCCTGCCTGGCCCTCCCTTGGCACCACACTCACACCATGGGGCTGCTGGGGGGGTCCTGGGGGTGCTGGAGGGTCCTGGGACTGCCAAGCTGGCCAGCAGCTCTTGCACACCTGCACACTCACTGCTGGGTGCCCATGGACAGGGAGGGAATCTTTCTGGCTGCCAGCCGTGGGCACGGGATGACAACAGCTGAACCAGCTTCTAAATGTTGTGATTTTAGCCAAATCCTAGTGATTTTCCTAGGAGGGCAGAGGGAAATGGAGATGGCATTGCCAAGCCCCTGTACTGCCAATGTTGTGGGGCTGCACTGGGGACCCATCCTCCTCCACAGTGCCAGTAGAAGGACAACACTGCTCACCCTGCACCCATTCCCAGGGTCACCCTCACCGCAGGGTCTGAGGATGGGGCCCTTTCACCAAGGCACCAGGAGCCCCCTCCATGCCAGGGCTGCCGTGCATCCCAGGAGCATGACCAGGGGCTGAAGGATCCTGCAGGGCACCTGCTGGGACCAGCGCTCGCTGCTGCGTGCTTGAGGACATCCCAGCATTGGGGTCACCTCTCTACCTCTGGCCAGGACAGCCCCCATGGGTGCTGCAGCACCACGGACCCCACTCCTACACTGGGATCTGCTGTGTACCCTCCGGGAGTGGGGAGCAGGGCTGGGGTCACACCAGAGGGACACCTTGGGGACCCAGCTTGGAGCCCCCCTCGCTGGGCAACCCCCTCGCACTGGGCATCCCTTTCCCAGCTGTGGGCAGCTGTGGGTACGTGTGTCCCGGCTGCACCGTGCAGTGCTGGATGGTGTGGGGGGCCCAGCACCCCCCTTCCCTGCGAGGCTGAGGGTGCCAGGCTGTGTCTCCACCCCCAGCAAAGCCGCCTGCACCAGGCCTGCACCTCACCGTGCCGTGCCGTGCCGCTTGGCCGGGTGTGCAGGGACAGCGGGGAGCGCATTGTCCTCGCCGGAGAGCAGCGGCGGCCGAGCGCTCCTCCTCGCTCTCGCTGCCGCCAGACCACGCCGGTGCCGGTGCCGGGACACGGGCACGCACCAGGATGCTGCCGTACCGGCTGTGCCTCCCCGGGGCCTGCCGCAAGCATCGGAGGATGGTTTTTGAATGAAAAGTCTCTTTTGATGCCGCTGGCCGGGCGCTGGCTGGCTGTCCTGCTGTGGGGAACAAGGAGATGGCTGTGCTGGAGGAGAGAGTTTGGTTTCCACCTCGGGCGGTGCTCCTGGGGCCAGTCACTGGCCGGCAGCGGGGAGAGACGCCCAGCAAGCGGCCAGCACACCGGAAGGTAAGGAGCCGTGGGGCAACTCTGGGGCTGGGTCCCCCTCTGAGGGGCACTGGGGAGGGCTGCAGGGTGGGGACACACTGCCCTTGCTCCCTGTCCCCTCCCCTGCTTTCTTCAGGTGGGCACCCTCAGCTGTGGTGACCCTGTGTGCCCCCGGCAGCACAGCAGTGGTGGCACAGGCGTGACCATGCCAGCTGTGACCCTACCAGGGCCCTCTGTGCCCCACCAGGGCTCAGCTGGGCCATGTGGGAGCACCGCCGGTCGTGCTGTGGGTCCCAGCGTGTCCCTGCTGTCCCCAGGCTCATCGGTCCCCTGGCACCAGCTCTGCGTGCTGCTCCAACACCTATGGTGGGGAGTTTCCAGTTGGCATCACCACGGTGCTGGGGGTTTCAGCTGAGGGGGATCCACCTGGCTTGGGGTCCTCCTGCCTCTTTCCCGGCTCCTGGGGCTGGGAGAGTCCAGGCTTGATCCTGGCATCCCCTGGCACCCGGCTCCCAGCCCAGCAGGAGATGATGGCTCGTATCAGGGTTAGGAACCCAAAAGTGTGGGATTTGAGCCTAAAGCTGAGGCTGCAGCTCCTCTGGACTCAGTGTGGTCCCTTTCCGGGGCTGTTTGTTCCCTGCTATCAGCTCAGCACGGGGACATTGTGTGTGATCAGCACAGAGTCGCTGTCCCCAGGGTGGCCCTGGTTCTGCCCTGGCACCCACCAGCCGTGGGGACGACGTGACACGGCAGGGCAGGCCCTGGGCATCCCCAGGTGGCTCATAGCCACGGTGGGGGGACACACGGTAGCACGGGGAGGTGACACGTTACACGTGGGCATCATGAGAGGGACCCTGAGAGTGGGGCGGGGGGACAGAGGGGTGGTCCCGGGAGGTGGCAGGGGGTGACTCCGAGGTGTCCCCGGGTGGCCCAGGGCTGTTCTGGATGAAGAGCCGTGGCCGGTCCCCGGTGCGGCGCTGTGCCGGTGCCCGCGGCGCCTTCTACCGCGCCGGGTGATGCCGCTGCCGGTGCCGGTGCAGCGTGATGCCGCTGCCGGTGCCGCTCATCGCTCCCGCAGTGCGGGGCTGGGGACGGTGCCAGGTGCTGCCGGTACCGAGCGGGGGGTCCCCGCGGGTCGCGTGCCGGTGCCGGTAGCGGTGGTGCCGCCGGTGCCGGTGCCGGGCGGGGCCCCCGCGGGCTGCGGGCGGTGCTCAGCCACCACCAGCACAACAGTGGTGATGTTTGCAGCTGTGGTCATGGGGTGGAGTATCAGGAAAAGCAGGAAGAGAGGAACCCGCAGCTGAGGGTGACTGCTGAGTGCCAGCGTGGTGACCTCCATGATGGGTGAGAGATTCCTGCAGGCTGAAGTCTCCAGGGAGGGCTCTAAAGGAATGGAAAACACAGACTGAGGGCAGGTAAAAGAGTAATCCTAAAAACCTAAGAAAATAAACTACTAAAAGACAAAAAAGCCCTCATGATCATGATTCCGGCAGCAGCAGCAGCAAGAAAGACCCTGACAGAGTGCGGATTTTCCAGCAGCAGCCAGAAAGGTGGTCAAATTTGTTGAGACAAGTCCCTGAGCCCCTGATCTATAGGGAGTTGTTTGAGGAGGGCTTTGGGTTAGAGATCCTGCCGGTGGCACGGGGGTCCCAGGGGTTGGTTCTGCCCGTAGCTCTGCACCCCCTCACGTGTTCATGCAACACCCCCCCCTCCTTACCTGCCTGCACCCCCTCACCTGCCCGTGCCCCCCTGCCTGCACCCCCTCGCTTGCGGTGCCCTGCCTGCACCCCCGCACCCCCCGCCCCGCGGCCGTGCCCCGCTGTGCCGCTCTGCAGTCCCCGCTGCTGCCGGGCGGGAGCTGGTGCCCGCTGCCTGCGCTGCCTGCCCATGCTGCCTGCACCGCCTGTCCCCGGGTCCCCCATCCTGCAGGAGGGTGGGGGTCTGGGAGCTGCCGCCCCCGCTTCTGGGGGGCCCTGCCGCAGGAGGTCGGGGGGTTCTGGGTGGCTGTGCCCTGGCAGGGCCTCTCCCCTGCCCACACTCTGGGTCTGGGTCCCCGATGTCCCCGTGCCCTTCCCTGTCCTCCAGCCCGGCCCCGTGCCTGGCCACCACCGGGGCCCCGGGAGCAGCTGTGTCCCTGCTCGGCTGGATGAGGGTGGGCAGTGGGTGCAGGCACCACACACAGTGGGATGCTCGGGACCCCCACACCTCTCCTGACCCCATGGATGCGCTGGGAAGGTCTCGCCCCCAAACCGGTGACCAGTGAGGGACAGGGTGGCAATTCGGCAGCAGACAAGTGGGGTCCCCCTGCTTTCACCTTCTGGGGAGCCAGGCAGTGAGTCCTGGTGTGGGCTGTCCCCTTGACACTGCCTGGTCCCCCCCTAGATGCCAGTGAGCCTCTCAACGGCCCTGCGCGTTGTCGGGACCAGCCTCTTCGCCCTGGCGGTGCTGGGGGGCATCCTCGCCGCCTACGTCACGGGGTACCAGTTCATCCACACGGAGAAGCACTACCTCTCCTTTGGGCTCTACGGGGCCATCCTGGGGCTGCACCTCTTCATCCAGAGCCTCTTCGCCTTCCTGGAGCACCGGCGCATGCGGGACGAGGGGCGGCCGGTGCGGCTGGGGCGCTCGGTGGCCCTCTGCATCGCTGCCTACCAGGAGGATCCCGACTACCTGAAGAAGTGCCTACGCTCCGTCAAGCGCATCGCCTTCCCTGACCTCAAAGTAGTGATGGTGGTGGACGGGAACGGCCCCGATGACACCTACATGCTGGACATCTTCCACGACGTGATGGGCTCAGAGCATTCGGGCAGCTACATCTGGAGGAGCAACTTCCACGCCTTGGGCGAGGGGGAGACAGAGGCCGGGCTGCGGGAAGGGCTGGCCCGCGTCCAGGCGCTGGTGCGGGGCACCACCTACTCCTGCATCCTCCAGAAGTGGGGCGGGAAGCGGGAGGTGATGTACACAGCCTTCCGGGCGCTCGGAGACTCCGTGGACTACATCCAGGTGGATGCATGGGCTGGGGGAGTGTGGGTGGGAGGGGGATGCAGGCAGTGAGCACCCTGCACACATGGCCGGGCAGAGGGGCTGCGGGAGGAGGAAGAGGAGCAGCTCCATGAGCCCATGGCAGCACATGGAGCCTGGTGCACATGGCAAGCCACCAGCACTGGGGTTGAGGGGGTGAAGCCCCACCGGGGTGGCCCTGCCTGCACCGCTGCCCCTGAGGGCTTCGCATCACCTCCTTGGTGCATCCCCTGCCCCAGGCTGGTGTCACCTCATGGGACAGTGTGGCACGGTGCGGGGTGCCAGGCTCCCACATGTGGGCGAGGGGTGGTGGTCAGGGCAGGTCCCACCGTGGTGCCAGCGGCTGGAGCATGTGGTGGGGCTGGGTGGCCTGGGGCAGCAGTGGCCGGGCACTGCGGGGCGCTCCGCTCCCTGCCACCGCCTGCCGGTCTCCGGAGCTCTGCCTCGTCTCGCCGGCCGTGGCTCGGGCTTGCCCGGCTGCGGGCTGGGCTGTCTGCCGGGCGCGCGTGGGCGGCAGGAGCGGGGCTCGACGTTCCCTCTGCCCCCCAGGTGTGTGACTCAGACACGGTGCTGGACCCCGCCTGCACTGCTGAGATGCTCCGCATCCTGGAGGCTGACCCCCGTGTCGGTGGCGTTGGCGGCGATGTCCAGGTACCATGGCCATGATGGAAGGCACTCCAGGGTGGCAAGAGTGCTGGGGGTTGGGGAGGGGGAGGGGGTTGCAGTGGTGCCAGAGCTGACATCCATCCCTTCCCCAGATCCTGAACAAGTACGACTCGTGGATCTCCTTCCTGAGCAGCGTGCGGTACTGGATGGCCTTCAACGTGGAGCGCGCCTGCCAGTCCTACTTCGGCTGCGTGCAGTGCATCAGCGGGCCCCTGGGCATGTACCGCAACGCCCTGCTGCAGCAGTTCCTCGAGGACTGGTACCACCAAACCTTCCTGGGCAGCAAATGCAGCTTCGGGGATGACCGGCACCTCACCAACCGCGTGCTCAGCCTGGGCTACCAGACCAAGTACACGGCTCGCTCCAAGTGCCTGACGGAGACTCCCACCCGCTACCTGCGCTGGCTCAACCAGCAGACCCGCTGGAGCAAGTCCTACTTCCGCGAGTGGCTCTACAACGCTCTGTGGTTCCACAAGCACCACCTCTGGATGACCTACGAGTCGGTGGTGACCGGCTTCTTCCCCTTCTTCCTCATCGCCACCGTCATCCAGCTCTTCTACCGGGGCCGCATCTGGAACATCCTCCTCTTCCTGCTGACGGTGCAGCTGGTGGGCATCATCAAGGCCACCTACGCCTGCTTCCTGCGGGGCAACGCCGAGATGATCTTCATGTCCCTCTACGCCCTCCTCTACATGTCCAGCCTGCTGCCCGCCAAGATGTTCGCCATCGCCACCATCAACAAGTCGGGCTGGGGCACGTCGGGGCGCCGGACCATCGTGGTTAACTTCGTGGGGCTGCTGCCGGTGTCGGTGTGGGTGGCTGTGCTGCTGGGCGGGCTGGCCTACACCGCCTACAGCCAGGACCTCTTCAGCGAGACCGAGGTGGCCTTCCTCGTCTCGGGTGCCATCCTCTACGCCTGCTACTGGGTGGCCCTGCTCACCCTCTACCTGGCCATCGTCGCCCGCCGCTGCGGCAAGCGGCAGGAGCAGTGCGGGCTGGCCTTCGCCGAGGTCTGACTGCGGGGTGGCCCCGGGGACGGGGGGTGACAGCTACCGGTCCCCTCCTTGCCTGCCACCAGCCCCGGTGCAGCCGGCACTGAGCCGTTGGGTGCTGGGCAGCGCTGAGCGCGCCCGCCGTGGCGTTTTCTGATCAAGTCTTGCTCTTTTTGCTGTTGGGGTTTTTTTTTTCCTAATTATTTTCTTTTTATTTTATTTTTTTTTTTCTGTACAAAGCAGGCTGCTGGCTGGGGAGAGGCTGAGCCGGGGCTGCCCGTCACCGGGCTCGGGGACAGCCTTGGTGCTGTGAGGGTGACGGCAGCGTCCCCGTCCCCCCCTTTCTGTGCTTTAAACTGAGCATCCTGGCGGGCTGTGCTGTGCGGAGCGCTGCTGGCCAGGCTCCCCCCACCCCATGGCCATGGCTGGATCCTCCCCCCTACCCCACTTCGGTGCTTTCTTTGGGGACTTCACGGTCCCCCTCCACGGTGCTATGGGCAAAATGGCCCCACGAGGCACCGTCTCCGTCCGGCGCTGTGCTGGCACCGCTGGCTGGTGCTGCTCTGCCTCTGCCCCACCACCACTGTCGTATGTGCGGGCACGTACCCACGGGGAGCCCCCCCGTGGCTCCCTCCAGCCCCTTTCAGGGGGGGCCGGCTGCCCCGGGAGGGCAGCACCTCCCTTCAGCTTTGCCAAAGAGCCAAAGGGGGGGACCCCGGCACGTAGAAACAGGGGAAAACGGGGCCATGGCTTGGCCCCATCCTACCCACCCCGCTGCCTTCCTCGGCGTCTGTCTAGACAGCGGGGAGACACTGGTTTTTGGGCTCGGGCATGCAGAGGAGGGCGGGGAAGAGCCGGTTCCCAACCTTTCCCCTCCCTAGGGAATTCACCCAGTCGTCTCCCCTGGGCCCTCTTTTTTTTTTCAGGGCTTAAGAACCTTTCTACAACTGAGCATTTAGATTGCTTTGTTTAATTTAATACGAGGTTTTTTAGAAGACTTTTGTAGCTCTTTGGTATTCATACTTATTGCTAATTGTTTGTAAATCTATTTATTTTTTAACCTGCGGGTTTTTTTTCATATTTTGGAAAAGTCTGTTTTTATATCCTGACGGATTTGTCAAAATAAAGACTTGCACACAGAAAAAAGCAGTATGTGGAGAAGAGGCTGGTGGCCCTGGTCTGCTGTGACACCTTGGGGGGGGAGCCCAGGGGTGCTTTTAGAGGGGGACATATAGTGGCAGGGAGAACAGTCCATGTGCTAGCACCACCATGGGTCCCCACCATAGGCAGGAGGACAGGGAAAGCTGGCAGCTCACCGGGAACTGATGAGACTGGACACTGAGAGCAGCCCCTGGGATAGGACAGCCCTGTCCAAGCTCAGAGGAGGTCACCACCCACCAGGACCCATCTCACCCAGGATAGCAGCTAGGTTTGTGCCCCAGAGCAAGCCAGGAAGGGCTCTGGGTGCCGGGACACTGGACCCATCATCCTGAGCTGGCCAGAGGTAGGGACAAGGCCATGGCTGACCCTGCATCTCCCTGAGCCCTGGCTGCAGCACAGAGCTCACACCTGCTGGCTCAAGTCCTCAGACTTTCTTGGGCACATTGGTGATGATGGGCTTGGGGCGGGTTTTGAAGAGGAGCTTGGTTTTGATGAGGGCGGTGACGGTGTAGTGGGTGTGTGTTCCTGCGGGGTCAGGCTCGCCAGCTCCCTTCTTCACCAGGACAGCAAAGGGCTTCTCCAGCTGCACCACCTTCCCGTAGAGGATGTGGTGGCCCACGATGAGCACGGGGACCCCCTGGAGAGAGAAGCAGAAGGGGAGGGTGATGGCGGGAGGGCCCCTGGCTGCCAGGGCTGTAAGGTGGCGGTGGGCTGCCTCACCTCCCGGGTGTAGTGCAGGTCCCCCAGGAGGCTCCCCGCTAGTCCAGCGCTCTGCCGGGGCTCAACCTCGCCCTGCAGCTCCACCAGCACCCACTCCGCCAGGCCTCCAGCACCCTCCCTGTGGGAAAGAGAGGCAGCTTCACCCAGCGGCTCAAACCCTGCCTGGGGCCCGGGCGCTGCCGGGGGCAGGATCAGTCCCTCTGGGGCTGCACAGCCTGCTGGGGCCTCACCTGGAGACGACGATCTGCACCATGCTCCGGGCCCTGCAAAGTACCGGCAGAGACACGGTCAGCGTCCGGGGGAGAGAAGGCGGGGAGGACAGGCCGTGCTGCACCGGGAGCCCCCAAAGAGCCTCCAGCCCCCCGGGCCCGAGGCTTTCCCCGGTATTCTCTCTCGGTCCTTAGTGCTGTCCCCACGTCCCACAGACTCCCATGCCCAGACACCCCTCCCCCGGACCATGCAGCCCCCCCCCCTCCCCCCCACCCCGGGCCGCCGTTACGCGGGGCGCTGGTGCCCTCCAGCGGCCCCGGTGCTGCGGGACTGGGCCGGGGCAACCGGGCCGCTGGCCAGGCCCTTCCCGTCTCCCACTCCCGGCATAGTCCTTCCCGCCCCGCCGAGCCCCGTCCCGCTCCCCCGAGCCCCGCTCCCGTACCCTCCGGCCGAGCCGGAGCCGCCTCCCCGCAGCCTCCGAATCTCCCGCCGCGACGCGCAGAGTCTGCTTCCTCTTCCGGTGTCTGCCCTCCCGCCACCACTTCCGCTTCCGGGTGCGCCGGGCGCACGTGGGGGTGGTGCGCGGGGCGGAGCGGGGTCGGGACCGGGGCCCGGTTGCGGGATGGGGGAGTTCGAGGTGCACCGGGTGCGGTTCTTCGGCCTGGTGCCGGCCGGCGTCCGCTGCCTGGCCTGCCAGCCCCGCGACGGCCGCCGCTTGGCTCTGGCCCGCACCGACGGCGCCGTCGAGGTCTACAACTTCGCCGCCAACTACTTCCAGGAGAAGGTGAGGGGGTCTCGCCTGGGCCGTACCGGGCTATACCGAGCCGTACCGGGCTATAGGGGGCCGTACCGGGCCGGGCGTCGGGTAACAGGTATCCCTCCCCAGGTGATCCCCGGGCACGAAAGCCGGTCGGTGGAAGCGCTGTGCTGGACGGCGGGGGACCGGCTCTTCGGTGCTGGCCTCGGCGGGGAGATCACCGAGTATGACCTGTCCCGGCTCTGCGTGGCCCGGTCGGTCGATGGAGGCGGGGGACCCATCTGGAGCATGGCGGCCAACAGCAGCGGCACACAGCTGGCGGTGAGTGCGGCCGGGAAGGGGACGGGGGCTGGGATTGGGATGGGGGTGTCTCCCCCACCCTCCCCGAAAAGGGCTCTCCTGCCCCACCGAGGCTGAGTCCAGCCTCCCCACAGATCGGCTGCGAGGACGGCTCCGTTAAGCTCTTCCAAGTCGTGCCGGGGGGGATCCAGTTTGAGCGGAACCTGGACAGGCGGAAAGGTGAGTCGGTGCTGCAGTGGCATCGTCCTGCTGTCCCTCCTGTCTGTCCTGCTGCCCTGGCCTTGATGACAGAGGGGCTGCAAGTCCACAGGGTCACACCTGGATCTTCTTTCCCCTCAGGCCGCATCCTGTGCCTCTCCTGGCACCCGTCGGACACTCACATAGCAGCCGGCTCCATCGATATCCTCCGCGTGTTTGACGTCAGTTCAGGTAATTCCCACCCTGAGGGGTGAGCCCAGCCTGTTCCCTGCCCCGGGGGGACCATCAGTACCACCCCACCCCGTGCTCTGGGGAGGGGGTGTTGTCCCTTTGACACCCCTGACTGTCATCTCAGGCCAGACTGTCCAGAGGGTCATGGTGAACTACCACGTGCACAAGGTGCAGCGCGAGTGCATCGTGTGGAGCATCGCCTTCCTCTCGAGCGGCACCGTTGTCACCTCGGACTCCTTTGGGAGGGTGCAGTTCTGGGATTGGGAACGAGGGACACTGCAGGAGTCCCACACTGTCAGCACCTCAGCCGTCCTCTCGCTGTCTGTGTCAGAGGTAGGTGAGCCCCCCTGAGTACCCCCCCAAAGTTGCTGGGGCCTGTCTGGGCTCCTGTGTGCTGGGCTGGAGGTGCTCGAGTGGGAGCTGCCTGGCTCACTGGGCTGGGAGAGGGGGTGCTGGTCCCTGCCTGCCTCCTGGTGCTGCCCTCTTGTTCTTCCTGGTCTGCACCCAAAAATCCTGGGGTCTTTGGGAAACCTCGGGTTGAGAAACCCCATTTCTCTCACCAGAAGGAGGACAGCATCGTCGTGGGCACCTCAACGGGGGCCACCTACCAGTTTCAGCTGCTGCCGGTGAAGATGGGCAGCCTGGAGAAGCGCTGGGTGCGGACAAAGCCCTTCCAGCATCACACCCATGACGTGCGAGCCGTGGCGCACAGCTCGACGGCTCTCATCTCTGGGGGTAGGACTGGCCATGGTCACGAGGAGGGCTTGGGTCTCTCCCCCCAGTACTGGTTCAGTTGACCTCTGCTTGGCTTCCAGGCCTGGATGCCCAGCTGGTGATCCGCCCACTGATGGAGAAGGTACAGAAGAAGGGCTACGAGGCAGCGCTCCGCAAATTCACCTTCCCCCACGTGAGTGCCACTCTGAGGGGGAGGTCTCACGCCTGGCGAGGCAGGATGGCAGGGGCTGGCTCTTCCTGTGGGAGAAAGCTGGCCCTCCTTGCCCCGTTGGGACCCCTCCCTGGCCCTGGCGAGTCTGGAGCGGGCGAGAGGGTAGAAGTTGGCAAGCTCGTCTTGCTGGTCCTGCTGGGCCTCCCATCTCCACGCTCCTATCCCACGGGACCCAGTCCTTCCCCTTCCCCGCCCTGGAGTCTCTAGCACCCCAGGGCATTTCGGCTTTGGTCTAGCCCTTTCTGCCAGGCTGCGGGTTCATGACAGTCTGCCCATTTCTGCACGCAGCGACGCCTTGTCTCCTGTGCCAGGAAAGCCAGGCTCCTTCTCTTCCAGTTCTCCCAGCACCTGGAGCTCTGGAGACTTGGTTCCACCAACAAGACTGGTGAGTTGCGAGGCTCAGCTCTGATACAAGCCTTGTGGCAGAGCTCACGCTGCCTGAAGGATTTTGGGCATGAACTGTCTTGTGCTTGGGCAGCAGAGGGATCGTTTAGCCCAGGCCCCTTCCTCCCTACAGCCCTGTGCTGGCGTGGTGGCCAGAGGGTGGCCGTTTCCCAGAATGGTGTGTACCTGGGCATGGGCCACACAGCTCTTGTGAGGCTGTCCTTGTGCTTCCAGCAGAACTGGGCCAGGTCCTGAGAAGTTCAGCCTTGGGGGAGGTTGGGGAAGGTCTGAGCTCTCCTTTGGGCACTGCTCCCTTGGGATCTCCTGCTGCTCGACAGGACCTGGGTGGTTTTGCCACTGTCGCTGATGTGCCATATGGTTTCTTGTCATCCCAGGAAAGGATGGCGAGGTCCTTCCCTTGTGCCGCATGCCTGAGCACCTCGTGCAGCTCAAAAGCAAGGTAAGACTGAGCCAGGGTCCGCCTTGGTGCCTGCCCCGCTGCTGGATGGGGCTTGGCAGCCTCTGCTCTCCCTCTGACAGCTGTGCCGTGTGTGCCAGGCTGCCAGGGGATCTCACAGACCCCACTCGGCCCCTCTGTGTTTCCAGGGTCCGGAGCACATCTACTGCAGCTGCGTCTCGCCCTGTGGCAGCTGGGTCGCCTACTCCACAGCCTCCCGCTTCCACCTCTACCAAGTGCGGTACGAGGGCGACAGCGTCAGTGTCAAGAAGGTGAGGAGGGCAACAGGCTGCCCCACTGCCAGGGAGGCTGGCGGGTGGCTGTAGGATTCTGGGGGGCTGGCATGGCCAGGGTTGCTCAAGGGGAGCTCAAGGGTGGCAGTGGTAGGTGGCCGCCAGCGCTGCTTTTACTCCCTTGTAGGTCCCCAAAGTGCCCAAGCTGCTGCTACCGGCCTATCAGCTCCAGTTCTCCGCTGACTCCAGCCGCCTCTTCGTCGCCTCTGCTCGAGGCTCTGTCCACGTCCTGCAGCTGCTGGAGCCGGGGGGCTGCAAACACCTGCACACGTTTCGGCCGCCATCAGGTTTGGGCTGGGGGGGAGCTGGGGGGGTGCTGGGGGTCCCTGGGTTCCGTGTCCCATCCCCACTGTGGGTGCAGAGGGGTGTACAGGGCCAAGCGTGTCCCCCCTCTCCTCTCCTGGGGTATGTGAGGCTCTGGCAGCCTCTGCCCTGTGTTGGTGCCACCCTCGTGGCCTGACACAGGTTGGGGAGTTTGGGGTACCCAGATGGGCAGGGGAGTTGTGGGTCTGGACATCCCTTGGGGGTGGATCCAGGGCTCTTTGCAGGCCTGAGCACCCATTACAGCCAGGGAGGGTGTCTCCACAGGGTGCCCCGAGGCCGTTTACCTGCTGGCAGTGAGCGCAGACGGGCACTGGTTGGCCGCAGTCAGCGGGGACTGGGCAATCCACATCTACAACCTGAAATGCTTCAAGGTAGGGGCAGGTGCTGGAGGGCGCTGCGGGGATGAACCCCACTGCCCTCCTGGCTTGGGGAGGGGGAGGCTGCGTGAGGGAGGGCTTGGTGCGTGGGGACCCCTCCCCGCAAGCGATGGCTGCATCTCTGGAGCAGGGCTGGGGGTGGGCGTGTGGGAAGGGGAGGTGGGAGCGGGCCCTGGTTGCTCCCGTCAGTGTGCTGTCCTCCTGCCTTGCAGCATCACTGCACGGTGCCCACGTACGACTGCGCGGTGACAGCCCTCGCCATCCACCCCGTCACCAACAACCTCGTTATCTCCTACTCGGACCAGCAGGTAGGAGATCTCCCAGTTGCAGCCCTCATGGCTCTCGTCCCTTCCCCGTGGCTCTCTCCTTGGCCTCGGGGCTTTCTGGCTGGAGAGCTTGCAGCTCAGGGCGATGCTGGGGAGGACGAGACCTCACGAGCCGTTCTGCCTCCCCTCTCCAGCTGTTTGAGTTCAGCATCCCCGAGAAGCAGTACACGGCCTGGAGCCGCACGGTGCAGAACCAGGGGCTACACAAGGACTGGCTGGAGAGAGACTCGCCCATCACCCACATCACCTTCAACCCCAAGAACCCCTCACACATCCTGCTCCACGACATCTACATGTTTTGCGTCCTCGACAAGTCCCTGGTGAGCCTGTGTGCCTGCTCGGGAGGGCTGGGTTTGTGTGCAGGGCATCTCCCCTGCCCAGTCCAGCTGTCCCCGTCCCCACCGGGAATGGAGGGAAGGAGCAGAGGGAAGGTTGAGGTGATGGTGGTACTCACATCTGCTCTGTGCTCTCCTCACAGCCCTTGCCAGACAACAGTGCCCTCCTGATGAACCAGAGCACCCTGAAGCAGCTCCCGGAGACCGCCAGGCAGCGGCAGCTCCACGCCTTCAAGATCTGCAAGAAGTTCCAGGTGGGTGAAAGCGTCACCGCGGGTGTGCTGTTGTTGAGGAGGGGGGATCTGGGGGTTCCTTGCGCCCGTGGCCTCTCCTGCTCTTGTGCCCAGTGACTCCTAGTGCTGTACCAGTGCCGGGCACCCAAGTGGCAGAGCAGAGCTCAATCTCAGTCCCTGTCACGGTGCAGCCACTTGCTGCAATCTCATGGGCTCCAGCTGTGGGGCAGCTCTGCATGGCCGAGCCCAGCAAGCCGAGGCAGAGGGGGGCCAGCACCCCGCTCTGATCTCCTGCCCCCTCCCTGTCCCACAGCCCCTGCTCTTTGCTGATCTGCTGGACGAGAACTGCCTCGTGATGGTGGAGCGGCCCATCATGGACTTCAAGACCCAGCTGCCGCTGCCCATCCAAAAGAAGAAATTTGGCACTTGAAGGCAGGATGAGCTGCTTCCAGCCGCGAGGAACTGTGTGTGTTGCATTCCCAGGGAAGGGAGTAGGAATAAACCCCACTGTTCTCTACAGATGCAGGCTCGGGGCTCATCCTTGCCCTGCGGGAGCGGGGGCTCCGTGGTGTTGGAGCAGCAGGTCAGGTTGGTGCTGGCCCCCGGGCATGAGGATGGAGCCACCTTGGAGGACTCCCGTGCTGTGCTGGTCAAAAGGAGACGAGGCAGCACCCCAGATCTCCTGGGCCATCTTTCTGGCCGCTCTGCTGGGCAGCATCGGGTCCTGGTCTTGCCTTCTCTCTCTCCTTGTGCTGGCCAGCAGCTGGGTTGCTTGGTGGCCACTGGGGCTCTCCCTGTGGCCTGGGAGTTACTCCTGAAGGCAAGTTATTCCTGAAGCCTGGCAGTAGAGGGGACAGACGACGACAGGGAGTTGGATTCGGGGGCTCCCTACGCTTTCCTTTCCCCAGAGGACACATCCCCCATCCCAGAGGAAGGGGCTCGGGGGGAAAATGAGGGTTTTTGGAACAGCTGCTGGCTCGCTGCCCTGAAAATAAGAGTCCAAACCGGGGAGCGGAGCCCGGGAAATGGAGAGCGGGGCGGGGTAAGAAGCGCGGGGGCGGGAAATTGATGGGGGCGTGTCTTCATCGCCCCTCCCTCCGGCGCGGCCAATCGCTGCAGCGGCGGCTGAGCCGCCGCTGCAGCGATTGGCCGCGCCGGAGGGAGGGGAGGGGCGTCCCAGCCCCGCCTCTCTCGTAGCGCTCAGCCTATCGCAGCGCGCCATGCGGGCGGGGGGCGTGGCCTTCTGGCCACACCCCCTCGCCCCCCAGGCCACGCCCCCTTCCCCCCGGTGCGCGGCGCCAAGCGGCGGCGGCAGCGGCGGCATGGCCGTGTGGACCCGGGCTTGCAAAACGGGGCTGCTGGAGCTGCTGCTGCGGGAACGTTGGGTGCGGGTGGCGGCGGAGCTGAGCGGGGAGGCGCTGAGCCTGACGGCGGAACCGGGAGGCGGCGAAGCGGCGGCGGCGCTTAACGGCGTGGTTAACGGCAACGCGGAGGCGGCGGCGCCCGGTTGCGTGCGGAGGGTGCGGGTGGTGAAAGCGGAGGCGGGAGGGCTCGGGATCAGCATCAAGGGAGGTCGGGAGAATCGTATGCCGGTGCTCATCTCACGGATCTTCCCGGGGCTGGCGGCGGAACGGAGCGGGGCGCTCCGTCTGGGCGACGCCATCCTCGCCGTTAACGGCGTCGATCTCCGGGATGCCACCCACGATCAAGCCGTCCAGGCGCTCAAGCGAGCCGGGAGGGAGGTCATCCTCGAAGGTACGGCTAACCCAACCCAACCCCGCCCCGCCCACGGTACCGGCCCCTTGAGCTTCTCTCCTTCCTCTCCCGGGTGACCCTCGCCCCGTTACCGAGTCCCGCCACAGTTCCCTGCCTCTGTCACCGGGGTCCCAGAATCCCTCGTGGGTCCCTTTTCCAGTTGCGGGACCCCACTCCCCCCACCCCACCCCGGTCACGGTACGTGTGTCCCCTACCCAAAACCCCCAGCCCCGGTGCTGAGTCCCGACCTGCGACGGGGACAGGGGTGTCCCTTCCCCAGCCGGGGTCCTCCTGCTTGTGGTGGGATGGGGACCCATCCCAGCTGGGGACAAGGACTGGCCATCTCTGCTGACTGTGCACCCCCGGGACACACCTGGGGTCCCCCAGATACGTTGTGCTCCCCAGGACAGGGTGTCACCCGTGGCACCTCTGGGGACAGGGAGCCCCTAAGACGGGTGGGTTCTTGTGCCCCCTGAGTCCCCAGGGAGGGCTATGGCTCCTTGGGAGGTGGGTTTGGGGTCTGCCCATGTCCCGTGGGTTCGGTGCCTGTGGCACAGGTGGCGGAGCTGCCGGCTCCTGCCCGACCTGTTTCCCAGCAGCCCGACAAGCTCGGGCAGGACCCGCCTGGCCCGCTGGCGTGCGGCACGGGGCTGGTGCCATGGGGTGCCATGCCCCAGGCGTGCGGCACGGGGCTGGTGCCGTGGGGTGCCATGTCCCAGGAGGACATGAGCCCCTTGTGCCGTGGGTCAGGGTGGTCCATGTAGGTCTGTGGTGTCACCCACGCCGTCCCAGTGTCCTAGAGAGGCCATCTGTCCATGGATGTGGCTGGGGTGGGCTGAAGCTGGTGGCAGGTGCTCCCACTCGCCCACCTACTCCTGACATGAGGGTGGGTGGGTGCGTGGGCTCCCTGGCAAGGCAGCACCCAGCCCGGAGGGGCTCTGTGCGTCTCGGGGGTTCTATGGGGGCCAAGGTGGACCCGCAGGGTTGGGCTTGGCTTTTAAACACCCGTCTGGTCGGGGTCTGCTGTTGGGGGCAGCGAGAGTCCCCATGGCTCCCTCATGCCGGTGTTGCCATCTCCCCGCCGCATCCTTCCCCTGTCTCACGCCGCCCGGCCGTTTGATCCTGTCCCACAGGAGCTCCAGCCCCGTGGCCTGTTTGTCCCTCGCTTCCGCCACAGGCACAGGCGTTGCGGCAGCCGCCCCTTCCCACCAGGGCTGTGAGTCTCTTCATCCCATGGCTACAGCTGCCCTACGGCCTCAGGGGGGTGGTCCGGTGGCAAGCTGGCATCTGGTGCTGGGAAAGACCTCTGCCACCACTGTCCCACCCCATCCCTCCTCTCCAGCCCCTGGAGGTGTGACTGCCCCGGCAGGCAGGGCTTGTGGGCTGGTGCCAGGGCCAGTGGTGGAGCGTGGGATCACCAGCCCTGCACCGGTACCCCGGTGGGAGTGGCAGCCCTTGCCCTGGGCACCGGGTTTGACCACAGGGACCCGTGTTGGGTGTCTTCCTTCCGGGGTGCCTGGGGTGCACGGCAGGCTCCGGCGCACGGGGGGAAGGGAGCCCTTCCGCCTCTGGGGGGGGGAGCTGTGGGCAGAGCTGCCGGCCAGCCGGCACACGGGCAGGCCCAGCGGCCAGCAAAGAGGAAGGCTGGTTGCAAGAGCCGACCCACCCGCAAATGTGGGGGAACCTCTGTGGTGTTTCCCCCCTACACCGGGTGCCGGTGGCAGGAGGGGGCTCTGGCCCTGAGGACGGACCGATGCCGTCCGGGCACCGTGCAGGTAGTTGGCAAGGCCGGTGCTCACCCAGCATTGCCGTGCAGCCGGAGCAGCCGCCTTCCTGCGGCAGGTCGGGCGAGGGGTGCAGGCGGCGGCGGGGTTTCCTCTGTGGTGAGCGCAATAGGCAGGGCGGCGGCAGCTGCGCCGGGGCGGCCGTGCACCGGCCACCAGCTCACCAGAAGCAGAAGAGTTGGTTGCAGGTGCCACCACCCTGGTGCCGGTTTTGTGCCCACCAGCATGGGGCTCCCCATGCTCCTGAGTATCCTGTAGCTTCAGGGAGCTGGATCTGTCACTGTCCCCACCGGCAGGCACGGTCCTGTGAATCCGCTCGCTGCTGGGGTGTGATTTCCATGACACCAAGCTGTCCCAGCTCCTGCTGAGGTCCACCAGCATGGCCATGGCCCCACCGAGCCCACGCTCCTCCGGCAGCGCCCCAGCACGGCGCCCAGGCCCCCGTGGCTCGGCCTCTCGCTCTCCCTGCTCCAGGGGCTCTTGACAAGCCTGGCCTTCAGGCAGGTGGTGGCCATGCCCCGGTGGAGGTTCGCCCTGGCACCGTGGACTGGGGGGCTGGCTGGAGGGTGCTGAGCTGCCGGGCCCGCTGCCGGAGGCAGCTCCCACATCTGGCAAACATCTGCCAAGCGGCCCCGGGGCGGGAGCTGCTGCCTCTGCTGCTGCCCCTGCAGCACGGCCCTGTCCTGCCCGGCCGGGCGGCGGGATTAGGGGTGCGCGGGGAGGGCGGTAATCCTGGGATCAGCGCGGCGGGGGAGGCTAATATTAACTCGTTTGCTGCCCGCGCAAGGACAAGGCAGCACATCCCCACCCAGCCGCGCCGCTCGGATCAGCAAATCCAGCCGGAGGGCAGGGGGGGGCCGGGCTCCCCATCCCCACGGGCTGCTGTCAGCCCCCACACCCGTGGGGGGGGGTGGGATTTGCTGTGGGGAAGCTCAGGGCCGTGGGCAGGCGCTTGCCCATGGGGTCCAGGCTCAGCACGACCGTCCCAGAGCAGGGACCCAGGGCCCCCACCGCCACCATCGCTCCCACTCCAGCAAAGCCTGCTGGCCTGGCTGCAGCGGGGTGTTCTCTTTCCCTGAAAAATCACTGTGGGGCGGATGACGGCTTTATTTGCTTTATTTTGTTTGTTTTCGACTCCCTGCTGCACCCCCGGGGGGGGGTGTGTGTGTGGGGGGGTGTGGACGTTGCTGTTCCCAGCACGTCCCCTCCTTTGGGGCTCGGGGCAGGCAGCCCACCCTCTCATGGCGTGCGTGCTGGGGAGCCGTGTCCGGGGGGGTGGGACACACATCGGGCGAGGGTCCAGCGCCGGCGTCAGGCGCCGCGTCCCCGGCTGCTGTTGGCACTCGCTCGCAGCTTTCCTGCCTGGCCCAGCACGTCGTCCCGCGCGGCCTCATCCCAGCTCTGGCAGGCGGCTCCGCTGACATTCCCTGACATCTTTGAAGGCGTTGGCTTTCCCCCCCGAGCGGGGTGGCTGATGCGGGCGCTGGGGACCCTGCGGTAGCACCACCAGCTCCTGCTGGCCCCATCCAGAGCTGGGATGGGGTTCGGGGTGCTGGCCCCTCGCCGGGGCTCCACTTTGGCCGGGCTGGGTGGTGCGCTCAGGGAGGGACGATCCCAAGGGGAACAGGAGCTGGTGCCTCCTTCCTTCCTGCCTGGCCTGGAGAGGAGCGTGGAGCCGGGATGTCCTGGCTGCAAACCCTCCTCTTCCTCGTCCTGTGCAGCGGGGGGGAGGCTGCTGGCAGGCATGAGCGGCGGAGCCCTGGGGTCAGCTCACCCGTCGGCTTCGCCTGCGGTGCTGGAAACTTGGCCGGTGCCATCCTCCCCGCAGCGCAGCGGCCGGGGTGGGTCAGGATGGGCTGCAGGCTGACCTCCTGCCCGGCCCCATTGTGCTGTGCCGCCTTCCCTTTCCTACGCCCGCGCCGGCAACGGGGATGAGCTGTCAGAGACTGTCTCCTGCTCGGGACACCTCCGTCTCTGGGCAGGGTGGGACCCTCTGGGCCGTACCCTGGTCTGCAGGGCTCTCCGGGGCTGCCATGCCCCCCTAGGGTGTGAAGGCAGGGTGCCACCTTCCCCACTGCTTGTCCACTGCATGTGGCACCATGCTGGGGGACAAGCTCAGCTCCCTGGTGCGGCTTGGGGAGGTCCTACAACCCCCCCATGCATGCCAAGGTGGGGAGAAGACACACACCCCCC